GAGAACAGCGGTGTCCGCCATGTAGCTCGACAGTTCTCAAGCAACTAACGCAGCACTCCGTTCCATTCGGTTGATCCTTGGATGTTCGGAAGGAGAACGAGGAATCCAGGCGGCTATATTGAGCGCATCCGACCTAGCTGCCTGTAAGTTGCCAAAGGGGATAGGGACGGTAGTTGTTATTGTCTCTTTGAGCATCTATACCGCCGGTTTTGCAATTGCAGGGTACGATTCACATGCAGAGGATGCGATCCAGCATTGTTTGGGATGTCTCTTATCGTCCCTCCCGCGGCGAGGAGGTAATCAGTGCTGTGCTTATGTAGGGTGCCTAAGACATCCCAGATGGCTGCTGGACTCCACTATCGGTCGCAGCTTTGTTAGGTGAAATAAGGACCCGAGTTGACCTGGGGCCGCCTAGGGGACTGCCTGCTGTCCTCACCGCAGGACATTTTGAAATAAGGGGAGGGGAGATAAGAAGAAAAGCAGATTTCCCAGGTGTAAGGGGCACACAACTGATGCCTGTACTGAGATTTGGCCACTAGGCAGAGCTTGGTTAAAAAGCTTCTCCTACACTTTTAAATACCTTTCGTATCCTTTGAATCAATAATGGGAGTCTATAAAACACCAACTCGCCGCAATCGGGATTTGAACTCAGGTGCCGTCGTGGGGAGACCAGCGGGATCACCACTAGACTAACGGCGCACGGTGAGGAAGCTGAAGTAAATAAAGGAGTAAACATTATTCGTAGTACAAACGACTGCAACACTGCATATATCGCTGCCAAGACACCTCCCGCTAGACGAGCATGGAGCCTAGTAAGCTGTTTGAATATCAAACACGAAGACGAAGCCTGTACGACATGTTTCGGACAGCTTCAAAAATTTGCGGAAATGGAGGAGGAGATGGAGAAGCTGAGAAATCTCACTCGCTATTCATCCAAAGAGGATGAAGGTGAGAGAACATACGCAAACACGGCTTCCTCGGATGTGTCGACAGAGGAGAAAGAAAATAGTATGTCGATAGAGCTCGATAGGAATGACAACAAGTATCTTGTGCGAGAAAAGCGTGGTCAGACGCGATCTCAGCGAGCAAAAAGAAATCTCAGGGTACCACGTAAAGGTACAGAGAGTCAGACGAGGGAACAAGAGTTGGCTACGCCTCAGACGAAAGTCACGCCGCTCAAAACGACAAATGATCAAAGGATCGTAGTAAACAGGCAGACATGCGTTAGTCTTGCTGAATCAAGCCTTCCTTAATCGGTGAAAGGCTGTAGCCGGAATGTACGCGATGAAGACTCTGCAGGTATGATTACACCACAAGGCCGTCTAGTTGATCGCAGTAGATGAATTGTTATAAAGGGTATGCCTGTGTCTGTTTCCGGCACTCCAAAGGACAGAATACAGCATGACAGAGAAATATTCCAGGAATATCTCACATCAATCTTAATAAGAAACGAGAAAGACACGGTATTAAAGGCTTTCAGGATGGGCCAAATAAAAGACTCAAAACAAGAACCAGACACACCGAGACCGTTTAAAATTGTCTTTGAGAATGACGAACAAGAGCAGCTACCTTTGAGCAGGAAATCTGCGCTTCAACATGCCCATCCATCGGTTTTTTTCAGCCGGGACTTTTCACCCGCGGAGCGAGAAAAATGGAGGAGACTTAAATTGGAAGTCCTCAGGCGGTCGAGTCTGAGCGAGAAAAATTTCAGAATAGTGGACGGAAAAGTTATACGCGTCCAGAGGCCATTCCTCTGGAGAAAGACAATAATTCTAACATCTTTAGAGTGATGGAAAGCAGTTCATCCCGATCAGCTCCGACCGGCCTTTGCATTCAATTCCAGGAAATGGATAAATGCCTGTATGATGGAGTTTCTCATGCCAAATTGAGATTTTTGTATACCAATGCTCAAAGTCTCGTTTCGAAGATCGACGAACCCAAAGCGATATTATTAGAACGAATCCCCGACTTCATCGCCATAACTGAAACTTGGCTTAATGCCGAAATTGTGGATGCTGAGATTTCGATACTGGGTTACCAGCTCATTCGTGGACACCGTCAAAATAGACAGGGCGGTGGGGTAGTCGTAGATGTAAAGGCAGGAATTTCAGCAGTTGAACGAGCCCACACCCTCCCCCTTGAATATGAATCCGTCTGGATCAAGATAAAGAAGAGTAATGCACAAAATATACAATGCCAGGCGATTTACACACCACCAAACCTTCCGCGTGCAGCTGATGAATCGCTCCTTGGTTTAGTCAAAGACGTAGTTAGAGGCAGAGCCCTTGATGACCCTATTTATGTACAGTGCTTTCGCAGATTCGTACGCAAAAATAAAATTGCAGGCAATTACAATGTGATTGGGTCACAGTTCAATTGTTATCATAAGGAAGTGCATAGGATCACTGTAAATTAGTGCGGAAAAATTGTATATGACAGCTTTTACAAAAGTGGTTGTGCATAGTCATGTTGTAAAAGCCGATTTCTGTCGAAAACTAGACAACCAAGTTTTCTTTTAAGCATGCAAATTGTGTCAGCCATTACCATCTCGCTTGGAAGCGAGTTCCACGGTCTGAAAACCCGCTGGCTGAATGAAAATTTTCGTCGGTCTAGACGTATGCGCTCATTCCCGACTTTGCATGCATGGACGCGCAGGTGATTCGTACGGGCGAATTCAAAGACGTCCTCTACTCTTAATGAGCAACCCTGGCCGCGGACAATCCGGAACGTCCAAAGTACACTTCAGTTTATTTGTCTATAAGAGAGAGAGAGAATAGGCCAAGCAAATTCAGCCTCTCCTGATAAGACAAATGCTTTAGACCGTCGACCATCTTTGTCGCTCTGCGTTGTACCTGTTCGAGTAAGTCGATATCCTTCCTCATCTATGGTGAAGCTGCTGGCATTCCATATTCTAGATGAGGTCTTACAAAGACAGCAAAGAGTCTTTCGAAGAGTTCCGGAGGAAATATTTTAAATGCACGTCTGATCCAGTGTAGAGTACTAGACCTCTGGACTATCTTTCTACAGTGTTCTGGTGGCGATAGATTTGTGGTCGTCCATACACCCAGATTTCTGTGTCTTTCCACAGTTTCTAACCTCATCTTGTCTATATAGTACTGGTGTTTGGGAGAGGCATTGCGACCGGTGTTCAGGTGCAAGACCACGCATTTGGGCACGTTAAACTTCAAAAGTCATCTGTTCGACCAAGCACACAGTTTGTCGATGTTCGACTGCAACTTCTTTGCGTCATCATCGCAGTTGACTTCACTCCATATTTTTATGTCATCCGCGAACATAAGAGCCTCGCAATTCACTTCGCTGATGCAGTCATTAACATAAATCAGGAAGAGTACTGGGCCTGAGACAGAACCCTGTGGGACACAACATTCCACCTTTGCCCATTCCGAGCTAGAGTTACCAACGACCACTCTTTGTATTCTGGAGGAGAGAAAACTCCTAATGCATTTAAATATTCTCCCTTAAATTGCTACACCCCAGATCTTCTGTAAAAGAAGCCTGTGTGGGACAGTGTCAAAGGTCTTCTTGAAGTCAAAAATATGACATCCACTGGAAAACCCTTGTCGGTATCTCGTGTCCATTTCTCGTGCGAATAAAGAACACTTGTTAGGCAGGAGCGACCTGGACGAAAGCCATGTTGGGCATCACACAATATTTTGTTCTGTTCCAGGTATTTCATCAAGTGTCTTTTGATAATGCGTTTCATTATTTTACATGCGATTTCAACGCACCCGCAATAGAGTGGGAAACTAGGGCAGTTAACGGTGGACCAGCCTCTTTCAACAATAAGCTACTGGACCTCACACTCGATCTCCCTCTGGCGCAACATGTAAAGGTACCAACAACATTTTGAGAGAATCAGAGGGCGAATTGTCTAGACCTAGTTTTCACTAAAGACTTCTCTAATATCGACGAAGTGTATGCCAATGCACCTCTCGGGAAATGTGACCATACTACGTTACCATTGGATTATTCGCTCTTCTCTCAACGCCAGAAGAGAACAGAGGGCCAACCTAATGTATGGAGGGCAGATTTTAACACGATGAAGAACGAATAGATGTCCGTGAATTGGGACCACTTGCTCAGGGGAGATCCGGCGGACGACTGGAGATCTTTTAAGAAGATTTAACTCGATCTGACTCGGCGCTGTTGTCCACCTAAAGTACAAAAAACAACTAGTCGACCTGCTTGGTTAACTAGAGACCTAAATTGGTAGCTACGGAAGAAAAGCAAAAGGTGGAAAATATTCAGGGAAAATGCGTCACCAGCGCATTTCTTAGAATTTCGTCATCAACGAGATGAAGTGAAAAAATGTATACATCAGGCTGACTGAACTAAATCTGTTTCCTCTAAATTACAGGCAACTGCCTGGCAATCTCATTCAAACCTACAGTATTGTCAGAGGCCGTGAGTGTGTCCTGGACTTTGATGAATTCTTCGAATTGGCCGAGACTGACCGTCTGCATGGTCATCTATTCAAACTGCAGAGGAAGCTGGCTCATTCGGACGTCCGACGGAACGCCTTTTCCCACAAGGTCATTGGGATGTAGTGACGTTTAAGTCTGTTTTGTTTTAATCAGTTACAATACGCTTTTGACACAACTTTGAATAATACAAAGAACACGCACGTGTACATTTACCTGCTGACGAATTTGTTCTTATTTACTAGTTTGTAACTGTTGGGATACTGCTATTTTCGTTTCCTGGATAGCCTACTCGCTGTGCCCAAATAGTGGGTTTGTCTCTTACACTGGTGACCCTGTATCGTTCATAGCTCCTTCTGTTTAATCTCTGTGCTTAACTATTTCCATTCGGGTTAATCCTCACTCTAATTTTTATCGATCAGATTATGCATCTAGCCCTTATTTGCTATTCACACTGTCTCACCCTTTCATCCAATAAGAGCGCTACCCATCAATCTCACCGTCAACGCGCCAGGCCTCTACCCCATTTATCTGACCTCCGACCGAACCCGGCTAATTATGTCCAGCGCTTCTACCAGCCAGCCGATAGCCGGCATTCACATTTTTGACCTGCCATCCGTGTGGCTCGGTGACATCGCGTTATGGCTGCGCACTGTAGAGTCACGATTCGACCTCCGTCAGATCACACGAGAGGATACGAAATTTCACTATGTTGTGGCAGCACTCCCAATGGATATCGCCACCGACCTCCGCGACATCATAGATTGCCCGCCCACAGAAGCCCCTTATACTGCCCTAAAGGAGGCTCTCATTTCCCGAATTTCCCTCTCAACGCAAAAACGTCTCCAACGTTTAATTTCTGAGGAGGACCTCGGTGACAGGAAGCCTACGCAGCTTCTTAGGCGTTTGGAGCAGTTTGCAGACGGACAAAACTGGATGCCACCATGTTCAAGCAACTTTTCCTCCAACGGTTGCCTCCTGCTGTGCAAGCCATCCTTGCGCCTAACATTCCTTCATCGACTGTTCAGATGCTCGCGGAGACTGCTGACCGTATACTCGAGTACTATCAGCCTCCTGTTACGGTTAACGTCGCTAGTCGAAGCACAACTGCCCCCACAATCGAGGATGTCGTCAAACGCCTGGATGCCCTTACTCTCGAAGTTTCCCAGCTCCGGGCCACTCGTGTCTATAACCCTCGTAGTCCTGCAATTTCTCTCCGCCCGAGATCTCCCACTCCAAACAAACCTACAGTTGATGGTTTCTGTTGGTATCATCACAATTATGGTTCTAACGCCCATCGCTGCCACTCTCCGTGCAAGTATAAAACACCCGCGTCGGAAAACTCCCCTGCCGACCAGTAAGGGCGACGAACGTGGTCGGCACATCCTCTCCCAGTTGCTTACTCCACATCTATGACAGGACTTCCTGTCGTAATTTTCTCCTGGATACTGGTGCGGAGATCAGTCTAATCTCACCCACCTTGACTGACCGTAAGTCACCAAATTCTTCATTTTTCCTCAAAGCAGCTAACAATACTTCTATTAAAACTTTTGGTCAACGATCCCTAACACTAGATTTGGGTCTAAGACGTTCATTTCGTTGGCTATTTATTATCGCTGATGTCCATACTGCCATTCTCGGCGCTGATTTTATATCCTTTTTCGGTCTCCTCGTTGACATTAAGTCCCATAAATTATTTGATCCTAAGACTTCTTTACATTGTAATTGTTCCACTCGTACCCTTTCATCACCTTATCCACGCATTTCAACAATCCCTTCGTATACTCCCTATCATCGTTTACTTTCGGAATTTCCATCTATCACACGACCTTCACAATTTAACCAACCTATCAAGCATTCTGTTGTACATTATATTTCAACTACTGGACCACCCGTGTTTAGCCGTCCCCGTCGTTTAGCCGCCGATAAGTTAGCCATAGCCAAGGCTGAATTCAGCCACATGATGGAGCTAGGCATAGTTAGGCCTTCCACTAGTCCATGGGCTGCATCTCTACATGTGGTGTGCAAAAAGTCTCTCGTTGATTGGCGCCCATGCGGGGATTACCGACGGTTAAACACCTCCACTGTGCCTGACAGGTATCCACTTCCCCATCTCCACGACTTTTCATCTAGCCTAGCTGGAGCGACAATATTTTCCAACATTGACTTAGTCAAAGCTTTCCATCAGATACCCGTTGCTCCAGAAGACATTCCCAAAACGGCGATTACAACACCGTTCGGTCTGTTCGAGTTTGTCAGGATGCCTTTTGGGCTACGCAACTCCGCCCAAACTTTTCAACGTTTCATCAACGAAGCCCTCCGCGATCTACCCTTCGTTTTTGTTTACGTCGACGATGTTCTGGTAGCAAGTTCCAGTGAACACGAGCACCTACAACATTTGCGTCTCATTTTTGAACGATTGAGCTAATTTGGCGTTTTCATTAATGTTTCTAAATGCGTTTTTGGCGCACAGTCGCTGTTTTTCCTAGGACATCGCGTTGATGCTTCTGGTTGTCATCCCATAGATGCCAAAGTTTCAGCTATTCGCGATTTCCCTACTCCCACTTCTTTTCAACAACTGCGCCGTTTTATAAGCCTTGTCAATTTCTATCGACGTTTCATCCCTCATTGTGCTCAATTAATGCTACCACTTACTAACCTTTTACGCGGGAACAACCGTGAGTTTTCTTTTCCTGACACAGCTCTAGGGGCTTTTAATCGTGCGAGGAAGGCTCTTGCGGATACAACTGTCCTTGTTCACCCTATACCTGATGCCCCACTTTCCATTTGGCCGACGCCTCCAATTTCGCTATAGGTGCTGCCCTTCATCAACAGACGCCCACTGGCACCCAGCCCTTGGCTTTCTACTCTGCCAAATTGACACCTCCACAAACTCGCTATAGCACTTTTGGTAGAGAACTTCTTGCAATTTATTTAGCCATTAAGCATTTTCGTAATTATATTGAGGGCCGAGATTTTTGTATTTATACTGACCACAAGCCTCTTACTTATGTCCTCTCTACTTCTTCTGACAAGTATTCACCCCGCGAGGCCCGCCATCTCGATTTTATTTCTCAGTATATCACCGACATACGATTTCTTAAAGGCCTTAATAATCAAGTTGCTGACTGTCTTTCTCGGCCTGACATTAATGCCATCACCCGCGCTTCCATCGATTTGGAGCGCATGGCAGAACTGCAAAATCAGCCGACTTTCAGTGAGAGCCTTCAACACACTAGTCTTCAACTCGAAGCCATTCCTCTTTCCACCACTCCCGGTACAATCTTGTGTGACGTATCGCGCGGTGCCTCCCGACCCGTAGTGCCAAGCGAGATGAGTCGAGATGTTTTTGCCGCGTTGCATAATCTAGCTCACCCTGGCATCCGCACTACCCAGCGCCTCGTCAGCGAGCGGTTCGTTTGGCCAAGCATGAACACTGATATACGCCAGTGGACCCGTTCATGTTTGGCCTGTCAGAAGGCCAAAGTCGGACGGCACAACAAAGCCCCCATTGGCACTTTTCTCGCACCCGACGCACGTTTTTCACATGTCCATATCGATCTGGTAGGTCCCTTTCCAACATCTCGTGGTTGCAACTACTTACTTACTGCGATTGGCCGATTTACTCGTTGGCCCATTGCAACTCCCATACCTAACATAACTGCAGATTCCGTTGCTCATGCTTTTTTGGAACACTGGATCTCTCATTATGGCGTCCCCTCAACAATTACCACCGATCGAGGTCAACAATTCGAGTCTAGACTTTTTAACAGCCTTACCAACCTCCTCGGATGTTCTCGCATACGCACGACAGCATACCTCCCCTCATCCAACGGTTTAGTCGAGCGTTTCCACCGGCAACTCAAAGCCTCGCTCCGAGCTCATGACAGCCCTTCCCATAGGAGCGAGCATCTGCCTTTGGTCATGCTCGGTATCCGCACCGCACTCAAGCCCGACTTGGAGTGTTCCGCTGCCGAACTTGTCTACGGTACTACCCTACGGATTCCCGGAGATTTTTTCGGGCACTCTCAAAGCTCAGGCGACTTGGATCCCAGCAATTATGTGCAAAGATTGCGCCAAGCCATGACTCATCTTCGAGCCACTCCTCCACGTCCTTCAACAAGTAAGTCGTACGTCGACCCGAACTTACAAACATGTTCTTTTGTATTTGTCTGTGTAGATAGCGTTTGCCGGCCACTACAACAGCCCTATGACGGCCCATTTCGAGTACTATTGCGCAAGGACAAGCACTTTACAATTGACCGTGGAGGCCGCACCGACGTGGTCTCAATCTATCGCTTGAAGGCGGCTTATACCGGGCCTCTTCCAACTTCTCCAACCGAACAACCTCCACTTGGCACATTGCCACTTGCTATTTCCCAGACTCCATTTACGCCCAATAACCCCGCGTCTTCCTTTATCCCACAGACTCCTCCCCTTACGCGCAGCGGTCGTCATGTCCGTTTTCCCGACCGTTACCAACTTGTACTATATGCATAACACTCCCACGTTTTCCTTCTATTAACAATAATTTTTTTGAACTCTGTTCTCCTAGGAGGGGGAGTATTGTAGTGACATTTAAGTCTGTTTTGTTTTAATCAGTTACAATACGCTTTGACACAACTTTGAATAAGACAAAGAACACGCACGTGCACTTTTACCTGCTGACGACTTTGTTCTTATTTACTAGTTTGTAACTGTTGGGATACTGCTATTTTCGTTTCCCGGATAGCCTACTCGCTGTGCACAACTAGTGGGTTTGTCTCTTACAGGGGCATGGAACGGACTCCCTGATGCGATGTTTCTTTCCGAATCCGTCGAATCCTTTAAGTGTAGACTAAATGCTCATTTGCTGAGAAACCACTGTACATATAATAATGAATGTTTTAGCGGCGCAGTTTGCGCCTGGCTCACACTTACCGCTAACTTTTTAACTTTCGGCATTTGCTGATGTAATTGATGACTTTATTTCTGTTTATCTATATGAATAGGGAGCTCAAGGGCGAAAGCCTCATTCCTTCAATTAACTGACTTCAAACTGACTTAAGATTCAAGGAGCCACATGTGAGAGTCGAATGCCAGTTAACGAACGTTAGGCGCAGTCGCCAGCTACATTAGACAAATTATGCGACCTATGCAACTCGCACGCGGAGCCATCAGCATGATACTACAACGCCCGCTGATAAATGGACTACTAGTCTTAAACAGGATGTTCTCAATATCGATTGCATCCGGCGTTCACGCAAGCTTAACTTCACTTTGTTTGCACTATTGATGTACGCTGAATATTGTTTAATTTCTGGGCACTTTTTCCATTGACTCCTGTGTTCTCTCCCATTTCTTTTACCGTGTGCTTTATGTCCTGCTGATCGTGACTCCGATCAACAACCGGATTTTCAGTCAATCTCTTAAGATATTCTTTTTTGCCTTACTCGAATCCTGACAAAATGCGCCTGAACTTTATTTCACCCGCATCGAATGCGTGTTTTATTCCGCGATATTCGGCAAAGATCTATCGAAATATAACAAACTTATGGAGGTTCTCCTCGCTGGCGTTACCTCCCAAATTCTAATCCTCCACACATGTCCCCTACTCCAAGCCCAGGGCAAAAATTCCTCGCTATAATGCCGTGTCAGACCGACGACCTTATGACCATTTGATCAAGGAGGAGGCATTGGATGACCGAAAGCCATCAAAACTTCTCCGTCGCATATGTTCTTTCCTTAAAGACTTATTAATTGACGGGAAACTCGCCAAGGAAATTTTTCTAGGGCGTCTGCTTACAGGAGATTAAACCATCGTTTCATCGGGTTCAGCGGTTTTCTATGTCTCACAGAACGGATGATGGATTTGCAGCGGCTTCAGTCATCCTCTGTTGCTTAGCTCTCCCTTCATTGCCGCCCGCAGAAAATGGTCAGAAAGCGAGACAGATAACGGCCATGCTGTAAGAGATGGCCTTTATGAAACTCCAGCTCAAGCGTCTCACCTACCGTCGATCGCCCAGCCGTTATCGGTCTCGATCTCGAACCGCCGGAGTTTGCAGGTGTCATACGGAATTTGATGCTAAGAACAGTCGACGCGCTTCAATCTGCTCCTTCCGGTCTGCCCGAGGAAAGCCTTAGGCCGGGGAACAGACGCGGTCAATCTCTTGGACAACCTACTGAGGCTGCCGCTGAAACTGTACGTACAAAATTACGCTCTGCGTCTCTCGAAATTTATCTTCGCGCGGAAATTTATCAGAAGTCCATCTCTGAGCGAAATTTGTTTTTCATCAAAATCTAACGGGCTAAGGAGTCCATTCGCGCTCAGATATCGGCCTAGGAAAACAAATCTTTGGCACCCAATAAGATCAGGAGTTATTAAGTGCCTTCGATATATTCAGAACGGCTGAGTCGATCCTGCATATATTTCATACCGTTCACATTTTTCTCTGAAGCGACTTTTTCAAAAACAGACGTATTTCCAACCTTTTTTTGAATATTTGCCATACTCCATCGTATACAGTCGTAAGTAACAGTCGAATAGCATTACCGACAAAGACAAGGGAGACTTTGTCGGTAATGCTATTCGGCCTATATATCATGCGCCGCTGTGCGGCTGCTGGTTGGGCTCGAGAGAGAGCCCTTAAGGCACAACGGAACGAGTGAGTTCCGTATGCACGATCGGTGAGCGCCCCCTAACATTGTAAGTAACAGTTATAATCTCGAAAACGAATATAAACTTACCAGCACATGAAGTTCTGAGGCACAGATCACCTTTTTGGTAGTTCCACGAACAGGACCGACACTATGTTCTATTCTATTCTATCCTATTCTATGTATGAAGAAATGTCAACTTAGTTGGCCTTGACACCCGGGATTAGCGCTCGCTCTCTTTATAGTTGCTACCAGGGGCCCACAGAGCGCGTTAACAGCGTAATTTCAGCAAAATCTATCAGTTACGAGGACAAGTCGTGCACTAGATGCTCTCATATTCTACTGAGAATCCAACAACTCTGAAACGAGCTGGCTGCTTTAAGGACACTCGTGCAGGCAAACGATGATGGGCAAAACACGGTTAACAGCGCTACAGTTAGCATGACAAAGGCAAAGGACAAAACTTTAAGACAGCCAAGGAACAAAGTTTGTAGAAAACCTCAGTGCAAGGACACGGATACCCATGACGACTGGAAAATAGCAACGGAGTCACTTGTTTCTATGAAAGACAAACGAAGCGAACCATCAACTTCTCTTAGCCATTCCGTGTGTTCGGTAGAACTCTCAGTTGGAAGTGGGAAAATAAGCTCGTATCAAGGTGGAATGGGTAAGCCCCACAACAGGAGTATAAAATCCCAGACAACTCCGGTGGATCTCCTGAGAACTTCAGCTGACAAGGTCGCCGGAAACAGAACAAAATCACCTCTTGATCGCTAGTATTGCGTTGTGGTGCAGGGCTTGTCAGAGTCGAATGCTCGTACCCTGAAGGAGAGAATTTCCGCTGACCTTGATATATTTCAACACCTACTGAAAAAAATGCACAATAAGAATGGAAACGTAACCATTTGGGCAGCCTTTAGGATCGGAAACAAGGTGAACGAACGATCGGGGACTGTTTGGCCACGAGCACTTAAAATTGTTTGGGCAGTAAAGAGGAGGATAGCTTACTTCTGTCTATGAAAAGCAGCCTCCGAACCTCTCACAAGAAAGTTTTACCGCCGGACTATTCTCCAGCAAAACGTCTCCAACGCCGCGAATTAGCGACTTGCAGCTGGAGAGACCAACTTGGCTATTTTCAGGGGACGAGTGATACAGAGGAATTCGATGTTGCTTTGGAACCAGCCAGTCATCATAATGCGGGCAGCAACATAATATTGTCAAATCTGAGACAAATCCAACGAAGCTCTGTCGACTATTGCAAGCTTAAATTATTTTATACCAATACTCAGAGTCTGTTTTCCAAGTTTTACAACTGAGAATACAGGTAGCCGATACGGCTCCCGATGTTATAGCAATAACAGAAACGTGGCTGTCACAGAACGTCAGTGATTGCGAAGTTGCATTTACAGGATACCAATTGTTTAGGAAAGACAAGATAGGCCGCCGGGGTGGAGTTGTTAGGTGTGTAAAGAGCAACTTAACAGTGTCTGAGAGGATCGAGAAGATTTCCGACGACACAGAGGCAATTTGGCTGACTATAAGGGCACGGAGATCGCAGTCCCTCGAAGCCGTACCTAGTTACGGGCCCCGCTGGCTGGTCGCGACCCAGATAACGGTTTACTGGAAAGTAAAAAAGAGATGGGCAGCCGACCGGACGTTGTTCTTATGGGGAATTTTAATGCACCCAACATTCAGTGGAGCGATATGCATGAGAATTGCTCGAAGTATACCTTCGATTACCGTCCACTAAAAACAGCCCTAGGAGCATTTCTCAGGCAATGTGTCCTGTTTCCTACTAGAGTGCGTGGAGGGAAACAGGCTAATTGATTGGTCCTCATCTTTACCAAAGATCCTGACAGTAAAAATAGGTGTACTGTATACCTCCGCTTGATCGAAATGATCACGCAGTACTTTTATGGGATTACGAACTATATTCTAAACCGTATGCAAAAGACCATACGAGGCCAAATATATGGAAAGGGGACTTTTACCAAATGAAAGCCAAGGCATCACAAACAGACTGGGATGTTTTCTTCTTCGGAGACGTTAATGAGGATTGGAATTTATTCAAGTATCGGTTGCTGCATCTAATGAACAGCCACTGTCACTTATCAAAGTCTAGGACATCCAATCGACTTCATTGACTAACGCGAGACCTCAAAAATGATCAACAAGAAAGGAAGGCTGTGCAAGACGTTTTTGCGGAAACAACGACAGTGCAGCGTTTACAGTGTATAAAGTACAATGAAATAAGCTGAAAAGCCAGATTTTCAAAAGGCGATGAGATTTCGCGAGTCCACAGAGCCGTTTAAAATCCGAAATTGCCATATAGTTATTTGCGAAAGGGCAGCCGTAACAGGAATGCCATTTCTATCCTGAGGAATTATGGCCGTTTGAAGATATCGGACATTAAAAATAAAGCTAAGCATTTTCTCAGTTTTTCCAATCCGTTTTCACAACAAAAGCAGACTTTTTTCCATCTAGTTCTGAGAACATGGGAGATCCCACTATTGAATATATTGTGTTTCGAGAAGAAGCAATTTTGGAAGAACTAAAAAGCTTGAAGGGACGTAAATCTCCCGGTCCGGACGAGATCACAGCAAAGCTGCTCTTTGAGCTTTCCCGACAGCTGGCCTAACCACTATTCTTTCTGTGGCAGAAATCCTTTGATGCTGGAATCCTTCCCACAGTCCTGAAGACGGCCCACAGTACACTCATTTACAAAAGTCGAGGTCGTGGCCTTGCGACAAACTACAGACCCGTCAGTCTGACATCAGTTTGCCGCAAAGTTATGGACAAAATCATCAAAAAGGATTCGATGGCTTATTTGGAAACCCACAATGCACAATATGGTTTCCGTAGGGGAAGATCATGGGTAACGAACTTGCTATATACAATGCGAATACATTGTGCATGCCGCCTATATTTATTTCCGGAAGGCGTTCGACAGTGTTCCGCACCAGCGTCTCCTGTACAAGTTGAGAATAATGGGCGTCGGCGGCAAACTGCTCAAATGGATCGAGAATTTCCTCGTCGGTCGTTCCCAAATTGTCTGCGTAGAACAACAGCAATCATGGCGCACATTCATAGAGAGTGGAGTCCCATAAGACTCGGTGCCCGGACCAACCCTCCTTCTCCTATTCATCAATGATTGCGTAAATGGGTTGAACTGTGATAGTGCCATGTTTTCGGATGACAGAAAAATCTTGAAAGTCATCCAGAATGCTGCCGATGTGATCAACTTGCAAGAAAATCTTTGTCGATTGGACGAGTGGTCTCGCAGATGGCTCTTGTCCTTCAGTTTGAACAAACGTACTATACTGAGCCTCGGAAATCAGAGCCCTAGTACGCGGCAATACCATCTTAGCGGAATACTACTTCGAGAAGCAGAAACGCAGAAGGATATCGCAGTCTGGGATGCAGACAGCCTAAAGCCTTCTACACAATGTTGAAAGGCGGCCAAGGCCGCAACCTCAATGCTATATGCCATCAAGTGAGCATTCGTAGTTTTCGATGAAGACTGCTTTACCAAAGTCTTCGGCACGTTTATAAGGCCCCATCTCGAATATGCAATTCAGGCCTGGAGATCGTGAATGCATCAGGATTACAATCTTATCGAAAGGGTGCAGGGGCGAGCAACAAAATTCATAAGAGGTCAAGGTGCACTGCCATATGAGATCCGCTTAACTAACCTTAATCTCCGTCCTCTGAGTTATGGGTCGTTGCGCGGAGGCTTGATGCAAACTTTCCGTATCGTGCGTGGCTTGGATTGCGCCCTTCGGTGCGACGACTTATTGCAACTCGCCGCTACAACTAACCTCCGGGGACATCCTTTCAAGCTACGTGTGACCCAGCGTAGATTGAATGTGAGAAAATATTTCTTCCCTAAACGTGTCCTGGAACCGTGGAATAATCTGCCCGAGACGGTTGTCATGTCTCAATCTGTGGATACAGTTAAATGTCGGGTTGAAAGATATATGCTGCAGCAACGAGCGCACTATGTGACTTTTTAGCCATGAGGCCAGTGACCTATGTGAATCAATGTCTGCATTCACTTAATGCTGTAATTTATTCACATTTTGCCTATGTTCTCGATTTTTTATGTACAATTAGGGAGTTGAAAGTCGTAAGCCTATTCCCCTCAAATACATTGACGGACTGACTGAGGGACAAGGAAGTGGTGACATACACAGATGATCCACCTGGAGGGGGAGATGGTCACGCCATAACAGTTAGACGCCAGTGGGGAATGCAGCGCTGTTCGCAACTACTGGTAATGGCTGGGGATGTGCTGACGGTAATGGAAACGCGGTACGGTCGGACGGCGGAAGCGAAGTAGGCGAAGTCACACCAAACTCATCCGGGATCCGCGCCAAAAGTGGCCTCGCTTCTTCGAATCAACCCTGCGAAATGTTTGGTGCGTTACACACCGACGTTGCCTCAATTCTGGTCTGTTTAACTCAGGCCGTCGATTCCTCATTGGGTGCTACAGCTGAGGAGGCGAAGATTTGGTACGTTTTTTCTTCTTCTGAGTTCTGTCTTCGACGGCTTCCTATTTTTAAGTAATTGCGAGTAAGTTCCCTCAACTCTTCCATCTCTATTTCAGAACCTATATATCATCCTACGTTTCTACAAATTTCTCACTGACTCTGAGGAATGTCAAACAAGACTTGTCTTCGTAAGCAACATCCGCGAAAATTATCAGTCCCTTTGCCCGTTTGGCTGGGGACGATGCTATGCCATGAGATCCAGAAATGCTGTCCTTCGATTTCAGTTAGTGCTTATTCCTTCACACAGATCAGCAACACCGCCGTGCGTCTGTAGGTCATTGGCGGCATTGCAGCCCGTAACACACGTGTGCGGACATTTAATTCCCACTTGGGTTGCATATTTCGGCCAGTGTCAGGAGGGCAATACTCGACTCCCTTGATTATTTGTAAAAGCGTGAAATTTGATAATTTTATTTAATGCCAGTTTACAGGCATTGTCAAGGAAAGCGTTAAACACAAATCCGACCAGCAGTAAAAAAAACACCTGAGGTAAAGGAATAAAAATATAATTGATGACTTTTATGGTTAAGAGGGTCCAGGCGAAAAAACAGCTGGCGGCAGACTTTCGATCGACAAGAAGGAATGGGGGGTTGTACTGTGTCGGAGATTATCGGACGTCAGTTCCTTTCCTGAAGTTGGGGATAGTTAAAGTAGAGGCGTTGAGGAAAAGCTGTCGCTGGTGGCCAACGAAATTTTCCATACTAAGACAGGTCATAGTATTCAGTGACCACAAACGCCATCGCTACGGTACAGTCGATCAGTAAATTCAGCACCCAAAATTTGTGGGAGCTTTTCCGAATGCAAGAATCAAATAATAGTTCTCTTAAATAAAGGATAATTTTGCAGATTTTTCATACTCATGGGTAGTTTATTCCAAATAGCAATTGCATTTGCAGAAAAGAACCGACGATATTTAACAGTACGTGCCAGAGGCAGAAATAAAAAGACCTCACGGTGGCTGTTACGTCGTGCGTGGACATGGTGTCTTAAAGAGGTGAGTGGGTTAAATGTGTGATTATATAAGAGATTAAATAGCAGAAATAGTCCCTTTTGAAATCTACGGAACCATAAAGGATCAAGGCCCGTATGCCGACAACAGTCACATCCCACAGAGTGAAGGTTATGGTTTCTAGAACTGCCCCGGTCAATGACTGGATGGTCGGAAGCGGAGTGGTCGAGTCTTCAATGAACGTTTTGGACAGGAAATCATTGAAGCTATCAGCGGTTAACTGGGCATCAACTATGGGCTTTCCGAGAGCGTCTTGGAGGATGGCATGCTGCGTCTTTCTGTGAGTTCGTATTTTTCTAGAGAAAAGTTTCGCGAAATTTAGCGAATGGTTTTCGGTAAACTGGACTTCTTCGGCTGGCTGTTTTTCTTCAGACAATCTCTTAGCTCGATCAGAAACATCACAAATCAAGGGCAGGACAGAAACATTGTTCTGAATATGGAATCGACGATAAAGTCTGCGCAATCTGCGACGAAAGGGTAAGGGTAGGAAAACCTCATCCCCAACATTAATAATTTTCTTACGGGGGACAAAATGAGAAATAAGCGGATCCAAATGTTCGTACAGATTTGCAGTGCAAACATTTACATCCGAACTAAGGAAGAAATCAATCAAGTCGTAGGAATTAAGGTGTGTTAATAATTCGGTTGAGCGAGTTGATTGGAAATCGCGGAAGAAGCTATACTTTGGGGACGACGTTTTGTCAGCCTCGAATTCCAACGTTGAAACAACTATGTCATGGTCTGAGCCAGATCAACCGTGTGAATCAAAAAGCGGTACGACTTAGACTTGGAAAATTTTGCAAGGCCGCTGGCGAGAAGCGGTCACAAGGGCGTCGGTCGCTCAGGCAACAGTCCTTTTGAAATACTCATGAGGAGAAAGATAGTGCCGACTCGAATCCGAATCTCAATAACTTCAGGCTGCATTAGTGCTAAGGAAACTGAAAACTCGGGATGACCAAATTCATCGGAGATCAAAAAATTTAGATTACATTCCAAGCGCGAGCTTTTAATAGTAGCGCGTTGAATCAGCGCGATACCAGCTGGCGAACCTATCCCATATCATCAGCTACTGTTCAAAGTGCTAATACAGACGTTGCAGTTGTGTGCGAACACCTTTAGGGCCGGAAAACACCATACATACAGATCAATCGGGTTCTTTGGAAGAAACCTCGATGCTATGCAACCAATGGCCGCACGTGTTTACAGAAAATGACACCACATTGCATAACGACCTTTCGTCAGGTTTACCATGCGTCATTATCCTGAGTAACCCCTTCTTTCACTGCTCACGGATCTGCTCCACGAACCAGGCTATTTTGGACTATGGTAAACATATTGCCTTCCCCGCAAAGCTCCTGAGAATCACGTCTCCAGAAATAAGTTTTCACGTTTTGGAAATCCCGTTTGACATACACCGACTTTAAGAGTACAGCACAACGCGTGCGGACCCTCATACAGTCAAGGCCAGCAGGTTACTCTTTTCGAAGGACAGGCTTAGGTCCATTGCCATTCACAAAAGTAGGCTGGCGATTCATTCCGGCAATGGTATAATTTTTTGCGAAGTAGGCACGAATGGCATCAGCCCTACGACAGGATACGGCAACGATTGGGCATTCTATTTTGGTGCAGTGTCATGTGTCTATTTAGTCTGTGGTGTCAACACACGGAGTAAACAAGTCCATGAGGTGTGTTACCTTCTGACGATTTATACGACCGCTCAACCCCCGTCCATCCCAGAAAAAAGTTAAAGTGGACTGCGTGAATTGGACATTAACTAGCATTTTTTTGGCATTCGCAGAGGAACACCACCCCTGTGATTGGTATAAAACATCCCCTGTGTTTTTGTGATCTATCTGGTAACTCTTCACTTCCCCCCAGGGGTTATTTTTCTTTTATGAGGCAAACGAGACGCGTCTTAAGTTTTCTCGTCGACTTTCAATTTCCATACAGCTAACATGGGTTAACACGGCGGAAGACTACGTCGCACATTTGCAGGAACTCATTGCACTACACAGAACCTATCCAGTTCGTATCTAAAATCAGTGTCTGAATAATAAAAAAAATATTTTGACCAGAAAACACATGGAACCTCTTATGCACACTATGACCAAATGTTGAAATATCGGACGTCCCTACATCTGGCATATCGTTGAACTTTCTTTATCACTGGGATGGTCGCTTTGTCGCGATAAATGTCAGAAGCAGGCGGGGCAGTTAACCCAAAATGGATGGCTTTACGGCCTACATCGACAAATTTGCGGCGTCCGGAAGACGATTATCCGTTGCCACAGCAAAGAGACACCCGTCGTACGACCACATCAAGCTTACTCACCAAGAACCGAGGTTATAGCAAGAAACCTACCCACTACTGGCTATTCGGACAGAGGCATCCATGAAAGGGTATTGCTACATTGATTCACGGTCAGAGATTTTCTAGTGCAGTGCTACACGGACGACAGTTTTGGGTATGTTGAGGTAAATTTTTTTGGAGGATATTTCGTAGTGTTTCCACGCAACGCCGCAAGGAGAGTTCTCTAATCTATTTGGTAAAATTATTGCATTAAACTACCGTATCTCGTTTGTTATCAACAGTTGAATAAACATTCCACATTCTGTTTACATATTTCGCTCAATGTTCTTGATTTAGCTATGTGCTGGCAATGTAAAAGTAAGTCGTGGAATACACGTAATCAAAGCCGTTCGAAGGACTCTGAGGTGGGGATATTAATAAAAGGAACTCCTAGACTTCACATCTACCGCAACAAGGACACTGGGTTAAACAATTATGAAGAATGAGAACACATTTAATTTATAAAAGATAGGCAAGGGTAGTACTAGGCTTTCTTATGGTGAATCGATCAATATCAATGCTTTCGCGCATGCCAGCTGTCAGCGACAATAACGGGGAGCTGTTCTAGGACGATCAGACCCAAAGATGTCAATGTCTACAGTAATCGAACTAAATTTGTTTAAATGTTTCAGTAGACAAACTAGTTGTTATGTTTTAACCACCACCGGCACTTCTGAGTTGGAAATAAAGATAAAGGTAGGGTAAGCAGTTGTGCACTTGGGTAGTTTCAAAGGCTTATATTTCAAACATGACTCAAAACTGACATAAAGCGTGACGCCCGTCAACGACACCGAGATAAACAAAAAATATTATTCTGAAATTGCAGAATATAACCAGTCAAGTAAGTTATAACCTATATAAGTTATAATTATAACTATAACTATGGCTATTATCCGTATATCGACTCAATATCTATTGCTATTAGGGAATTAATTATTAAGTTAAATTAATCAAGTTATAACATACGTTATAACCTAATTAACTTAACTTATTAAATAATTATAATATATAAGTAACTACTTATGAGTAGTTACTTATATATTATCATTAGTTAATAAGTTAAGTTAATTAGGTACCCCCCACCCCCCAAGAAGGTTTAATGAAGGCGTTTTGACGAAGTAGAAATAATGATTTATTATGAAAAATAAAATATATAAGTAATCGCTTATATATAATTGCAATCATATATAATTATAAATGATTGCATGCAATCATATATAATTATATATGATTGCAATTATATATAAGCGATTACTTATATATTTTATTTTTTATAATAAATCATTATTTCTACTTCGTCAAAACGCCTTCATTAAACCTTCTTGGGGGGAGAGGGGTACCGTAGTTCATTTAGTAATAAATCGGATGGGAAGTGCGAAAAAGAGCTTTCGTAGGTGCTAAAACGGAAAGGTCACTAAGGAAAGGCGTCCCGCAGCTGCAAAGCGCCGTATCGCGACTTTTCGCCATTGCTTCCATAGCGACTACATGGACAAAATCCGCTATAAATCGGTCATTGTATCGCGACTTTTCCACAACGAGGCGCCGTCACCTCGCTATGGAATTGCTGCTAGGGTGGTTCCGCTATAAGTAAGTATAACTAACTATGCATTTGTTCGCAGTTATGCGAAAGCATGTAGTTTTTTTAATTATGAACATATACATAGGTATCCGCATAAAGCTAGGTATCTAGCATAAATCTTTATGCTATTATTGATACGTGCACTTCCCAAAATCAGAAATGCCTTATTAAAAAAATGTAACGCTCACTGAATGTTGCTTTTATTGCAACTTGATATTGTTGTTTTCGCTTTGCTGTCCGATTAAGCTCTAAATAGTCGTTATAATGTTATCAACGGCCTAAAATGCTATGTAAAATCGCTAATGCGGATTAAATGTACGTATAAACTGTCAAAGACAGATCCCTCAGATGAGGATTTTCAGGACACAGCTTACTCGTCATCAAATTGTTTGAACTATTTCTGCGTGGTTCACATCGACATAACACACCTCACTATGCCCCTTAGTGTGTGCTTCAGTCGCACACTTATTTGTAAACAGAGCGTTGCTGAGAATAATGGGGAAGTCCAACATCTTAGAAACAGCGGAAACGTTTACATCTGCATTTAGTACAATGCAAAGTGCATATGTCCAGTGGAGTAAAATAATATAAGAATTGATTCGATGGCACTTCTATCTAATACGTTATGCAAATTTAGTACATGCGGTTCAAGTACTTAAACCACATTGCGGTACTGATTATGCCAAAGTAATTGTTTGTGAAAACTTAGGCACAAATGATCAAGTCTTGGCAACTTGATCGGAATTACTAGCGTTAAATAACCGCTCTATCTTTGCTTCGTGTATGTCAGTTTGAAAGTACATTTTATAACTCCCACAAACAAGTAATAAACTTCAGAGTCCATAAGCATCTGTTTTATTTGATACATTAATTGTCTAGGAAACTTGGCCAGTGAAATTCAAGAACCATAACCGCACAGAATTTCTTAATTCGGTCTGCAATCCTCGAAACTAGAGTGCAAAAATATGCCGAATAGGTTTTCCATCCCTTATTAGCATGCACATCTCGTACGGTTTTGTGGGAAAAGCTCCCAGAATAGCACACGCTCTGCGGCTCATTGAAAAATAAGATATAGTTTGAAACAAGTTTACTGTTTCGTATGTTGTACATTTAGTTCGAGCTGCATCATTTTTACCTCCCGTCGTCGGCACAGGAATGACGCATCGTGGTTGGGACTTTCCGTGAACTCTGGATCCCAGGGAGTGTCAGTTCTACGTGGAAAGAGCGGGGTAAACCTAAGTATAATTCTATTTCTCATCATCTATAATCACATGTTTACGAAGTGCATGCTTGACATTGAAATTAACAACCAACGTTAACGATCACAGAGTTTATTATTTAAAAAAAACAGCAGACTTGTTATAATCTAAATGCTCGAACATGGCTAGCTGGCACGGGAGTTGTTGTATTACCTAACATAGTTAATAGTTCTCAAGATATATGTAGGTTGGACGAAGGCAAGTAGAAGATGCCACTACATGCTCTTGAGGCCATCTACCTATCACCAATGCTTCCAAAAATATGACGTCCATTTTTGCCATGAAGCTTCGGTCAACCTGCCCGTCATTAGCAACCTCGAACAAGCTTCGAGTAAATAAATGCTTCCTATACTGTTTTATTAGCGATCGTCTTCAAATAGCGTATCAATACAGACTTTTCCTATTTATCCCTACTGCTTTATAGAACTATCAAATCTTGTAGATCAGCCCAAAATGACTTGTTCAAGGTCCAAAACCCGTCGATTTTTCATTTGGTTGGCATTTGCGTAACCTAGACAGCAGCGACAAATAAACCGTAGTGTTGTGGGAACATGCATGGAACTGAAAACCATATGATAGAACCCAAATGGATCTAGGAGAACTGCTGTCGACAATAAACCTTCCTTGGACAATTGTACGGATTTCACGGATGAATCGCCAAAAAATAAAGGTCAATTTGTGAATCACGTATTTAATATACGGCTTGAATGTCGACCAAATATCAAATCTCAGAGTTTTAGTCACATCTCATCGGTTCAGGGTGTGACCAATATGGCCAGTGTGGTTTTAAAATGAGCATTGATACTGTTCGCGTATGTGGTGATTAGTTTTCAAGACATTTCTTAGCGAGACGTCGTTTCTGTTAAAGGATGCTAGAAACTTCGCTAGTTTATTCTTTTATTCTGCAAAGGCGAATTGTCAAAAAGACTCAAGTATACTTCTAAAATTGGTATACCAATATGACTTTTATCACTAATGTTATTTATCAGTTTGGAAATGTAATCTCACGGATATTGAAACTGACATGTCCGGGAACTGAACACGTGCACTGCTACAGAGGTCGTACGTATACATCAAGACTTTCGCCAGAAATGTCGGCATTGATATATGATGTCAACCGCTTTCCTCCCATTACATAGGCGCGCTGCATTCGTCTGCTTTTATCTTGCATTTATAGACCGCCTAATGCATATTTTTATCATAACAAAATCAAAATCCCTGTCTGTCACCCCAGGTTCATGGCGTCACTAGTATCGGAAGGCCATGCCAACTAAAGTCCACCATCCGAAACGCACTGCCAATTCGTCTGCAGGTCACAATGGAGTACTGTCTCGGTTTAAGAAAAGGTCAGGAACCCAACGAAACCAATCCGCACAACTTCACAAAAAGACCCGAGATCAAGCAAAATGTGCTGCATCCATTCGTTTGTATTCCGTCGAATTCTGCTGTCACTGCATAAGTCGTTTCGTTAAAGGCATTTACCATGACAAGTGGTACCTGCAAAAGACGGTGACGACAAAGGTTTGACAAGACGGTCCTTATGGCATATTTAAGGAATGTCTCGTTTTTCCTATGGGCATATGATATGCGACACCTCATGCGGTTACCACGAAGTCTGTTATCGCACATGCGATCATTGGATTACCCAAAACAATCTAGAAATACTTAAGAAACTCAGTAAACTTTCTCTGCTTCTGCTTATCTTAAACTAATTTCTTAGTTGAAAGGTCGTGCTAACGGTTCGCAAACCTTTTTAGGTGAAAAGATGGGGAGGCCACGAACGGTGATTTGCTATATTTGCCAACGGGAATTCGGGACAGCTTCCATAGGAATTCATGAGAAACAGTGTCTAAAGAAGTGGCATGATGAAAACAACAAACTTCCACCCAGCCAACGTCGGCCGGAACCCGTGAAACCACAAGGGTTTGGAAACTTTTCAGATCAGGGAGGTGGTGGTATAGGCGAACAGGCCATCAAAACCACCGGGACTGACCCCAACCTTGATGCCTACAATGAGGCCGCCTCTAAAGTGGCTCAAAGCAACCTAGTTGCCTGCAAGAGATGCGGCCGAAGGTTTGCTGCTGATAGGGTTAATTTGCATGAGAGATACTGTCGACCGCCAAAGGAACGAAAGCCAGTTTATGAGGCCAGGAAGCCAGATTTCGACCTAAATATCCTCCGACAACCCTTGAAAACGGGCCAGGGAGGTCCACCTCGGGTCGGTTCTCCGGCCCCGAGAACACCCACACCCGGCCCAAGCACCGCAGCTTCTTCCTCAAATGGGTTCCCTCGCTGTCGTCACTGCAACAGGACCTACGCGCCGGATCGGATAGAAAGACACGAAGCAAACTGCCACGCACCACCGCTTAAGACGAAAGCAACAAGTGGTGCAGACAGGACAGCAGGCGGCGCAGGTCGAAGAGCGCGAGAAGCCAGTCCGATGGCAGAAGATGCCGATGGTTTTACAAAATGCCAGAATTGCAGCGAAAACCTGCCAGGCGACGCCAAGTTCTGTCCAAACTGTGGTACCCCCTGTCAAAAAAAATGTGACAACTGTGCGCAGACCCTGACTCCCGGGGCCAAGTTTTGCAGCAAATGTGGCAAGCCGGTTCAGGCCAACAGAAACAACCATATCAGAAAGGATTCATCCAAAATTCAGAGCAGTGACAGCGGACAATCCGCCGCCCAGGTTTCCAATGAACCGCTAAAGAGGAAGATCAGTCGGCCTTTTGTTGTATGCTACATCTGTGGACGAGAGTACGGAACTATGTCGATCGGGATACACGAGCCACAGTGTCTGACCAAATGGTCCATTCAAAATTCCCGTCTACCCGCGAATCAGCGTCTTAAGGCACCGGAACGGCCAACGATTATTGCCAACCGAGGTGGGTCAGAGGAACTCCGAAATTACAATAGGGCGGCACTGTCAACCAGTGCAAGAAATACTGGGGTAAAAAATTCCCAGGACATTCCAGCACTGTTTTGCGTGAAAAGATGCACGCTAAAATGACCATGTCTTCAGTTAAGTCATTGATTTTGCATTGCTTATAAAGGAGAGATAGATCCTGCAAAAATTATGTTGGTTTGCAGCACTAGAGAGTTCTTATTTTCTTTCCAGTTCTCATAGTCAAGGAGCTATGGGCATGATATAACGATTTTCGAGTAACATTTTTGAAGTGCTGGCATGAATGTGAAAGACAGCAAAAAGTGCTTGGATCTCGAATTAAGCCCTTTAAGTTAGCATATTAGATTTATCTTTGTCAAAGACCAGATCCAAGCATGAAGCTCAGCATGAAGAGCCCATCTGAGACATGGAGCAGGATGGGCACAAATTAAGAACAAAAAGCGAGGGAACGTCAATGATAAATCCAACATAGATAGGTTGAGAGAAGGCTTGGAAGGGCCTGGAGAAAAATGATTGCTTGTAACTCTTCGTTAGCAAGATACGCTGCGGTTCTGCCGCAAAGGTTTCAGAGCGACAAATCAACCTAGGGCAAGCATACTATGCACGTTAACACTACTGCCATTATTCAATAAATATAAGTCAAAGTGGCCCCGAGAAAAAGAACAAATAGAAACTATTGAACATTTCACGGAGATTTACACGTTTTAAGCAAAAATACCCGAAGCCACGCGGCATACGAAAGTTTAGAAGTTGGCAAGTTTATGAGAGGAGCAAGATCTGAATCTCGACGATGCCAAGACTTCCAAAACATGGGAGACAAACTCTAACAAATGTTATTTGATCGGCAGCATGTTCGGAAGCACAAGGAAGTGGAACATCCGAGCATGGGCGTATTCATCAAAGCACCATATGTTGGTGTCACAACTTGTAAACTGGCGACAAGACTTCTTCAAAATCGGCACAACACATACACAGGCTTTGAAGCAACATCTACGCGGTGACCTCTCGGAGTGCAACTTAAGGAGGTACCTGACAGGATGCTGGATCACAGGCCAGCATTTCAGTGAACCAGACACCGCGTCTCATGCTGGTCAGTACTGGGATCTCACTTACATAAGTAGTTTTTTGTCACATACCGAAAATGCATAGAGGCGTTTCGCGAGTTGCGGTGTAGAGTAAAAGTGCAAAAACGGGTTAGGACACGCACACGTCCACTTTGCCGGGTTTTTAAAAGATAGATGTGGCTTATTACGCCAAACCATACTTGCATTCAAAAAGGCCCTCTATCGGCTTACAAGCAGATGTGTAGATACCAAGACTCTTAGCAACCCGAAAACCTATTCCTCGGTTAACGTGAAGGCAAAAAACCACCCCAGCACCCAAGAAGAGGGAACGTATTGCGGATGTGGTGAGCATGGATTCCGCGTCAAGAACGTACACAAAGTGCCTAGACATCAGAAAAGAATGGTTTCAACGGGCACCCTGGTCTGCACATTCAAAAAAAAACATCTCAGACAGCCTGGATGAGTACATTAACGAATTCCAAAATGGGTTTCGGGAGGGAGAGGCTTAAAAAACCATCAAGGGAGACTGGTAGAGTTTGCAGAGGCATTTACGGGGGACCGGGGATGGGCTGAGTCTAGGGTTGGCGCAACGGCCGAAATTTGAGAAGACGCAACCTCCGAGGACGAGACAGCAGCGTGAGCGTCACAACTCTCCCTGACCATTCCCTGTTCCATCAGAGTCCGAGGTGCAAGAGTTGGGGGACCATCCGGTCGATAATCGAAGGTGTGTCTACAGAGACCATCTAACCACTCTAGCATACTACGTTGGCGTAAAGATTTGAATTAAATTCGAGTCAAGGAAAGGAACACAGTGGCAAAAAAATCGGCAGATCAGATTACTGCCGTCAGTTGAAAGCATACTGACCATGCTTCTGAACAGTCTGTCGCACAAGGATCGCAGCGATACAAATTAGCAGGTCAGCCAAAAGCTGAAGGTGGACTGAGAGCTCAGAGTGTTTGGGCACGATGACGGCAGACAAACAGAAAAAGATGAGACACTTGGGTTCTAGCCCAAAAAAGCAAGTCTTGTCCAGCCAGCTGGCCCAGTCAGCATCCTACCGAGAACTTCGTGCTCAGAAGCTGGACAATACAGACAGAGGAATGGGCACATTTTACTTGAGGAACAGCGTGAAACCAATCAGTACGATGGACAGAGCACAAATTAGTACTGGGATAGCTTGTATAATTTACCATTTTGATAGCACCGGTGCTGGTTAAAGGCCCAGACGCGTGGTCCGCCGACATTCTACTGCCTCATTACACAGCTGTGAGGGGTTCGACTCACCAGTGAGCCCCCAACGTTACCGTGTCCTACCTAATTTTTAAATTTCAGCTTCTTAATTTCCTCAGTAAGTAGTGCGCTAACTCCGAACAAATAAGAAAGGGTTGCCACCAGAAAAATGCAGCTACGAGAAAGGATACGAATTTTCTTCAATTTCCTTCTGCGCAATGTGGCGGAATATATGTTCTTCTTTAAAGGCGTCGATTTTCTCCTAAAAATGAAATAAAATCAAGCAGAGACCACTTAAATTCGGAGAGTTTGGTTCATACCATAGAAAAAAAACTAGGCACAAAACCAATAACTGTCAGATTTTTAGGTTTCAGACACACTGAAAAAGGTAAAGGGAGGAGAAAACCAAGTTTAAAATTGGCAAATTTAAAGGCTAATGAACACAAGTATACCAATAAACACAGAGGGGGGAGGGCCGACAGTATTAGAACAAAAACATTTGGAAAGGCGACGCACAACAGATGAAATAACCTTGAATGTGGGCAGGCTAGCCAGGTTTACGTCAGATAAGGGTGCGGCAAAAAAGGATGTAAGAATTCGGCTTCAACTTCTCCAAGAAAAGCAGAAAACATACAAGAGTTTGACTGCTTTCATCTACGAAGCTCGATTCTTACGGGCCGCACGTTCATAAAACGTGACCACAAACGAATACTTACATATGGAGACGTGTACACTATGGGGATGTACAACTAAGGTGAGAAAATTTCGGCTCCAGAATTCTTGGTTATGACGGTGATTTAAGGTTCTGGCGTCACGCTTTCTTCGACACGGATCCAACACGAGTTGCGCGATAAAACATTAGTCAGAATCCCGCTCACTAATCAACTAAGAATCCAGTATACTGGAAAAGTGGCTTACTCTATGAATGGAACTGAATCATTTCCTTGCTCGAGATTTCAAAATAAGCCGTCTCAGAAGGGGTTTTAAACCCCACGGGTTGCCAGTTTGGCACGACGACAGACGCCTTCATTCGCTGCACTGTCTCGCCTGTCTGGCCCCCACTGCATGCCGTTTGTGGAGAGCGAATCTAGGGGAGGAATGGCTATAGGGATGCAGGGCCACTCGTCAACAAGGTTGGCACCGTCCGGAATTCCGCCGTGGCACTGAAGCGGGTCCATGTCCGCACAAGTGCTAGTGATGTTTACGGAATTTCCGCAGCTGATGATCACGTATGCTTTCTAGCCGTCTTCCTCAGATACACGGCACCCCGCAAGGTTGTGGATAGTAGACAAATGCCACATCGACGTGAAAGGTTTCGGGCGTTCGACAGGCTATGCGCTCACCCCCTCGATGCAGAATTACACTAACTATGATAGGAAACATGTGTTTAACCTCTTCTAAGAGGTTTTCCTGACCTCGAGTTTTAGCGCGGTACCGTTGCGCCTCGTCTGTTGATGGTTGGCCTGAGAGATTCACGGAGGACGGCGATGGCCTCGGTCACGGTCACTGAAACAAGAACTTTATTCGCCTGACGCTCCAAATCCACCTCCAAGACAACAACCAAAGACAGCAATGAGCCTCTGTCTACTAAGGGACCGCGAACTTGTCAAGGAGAAGTGAAATAGAAGTCTAGTAATTGCACAGCAGTTAACTGGGACATGGAAACATACTAGCGGGGAAGGTTGGTTTTAATGTGCTACAGTGGAAACATTGAGAAAGTGCAGCACTTTGTATAGAACTAATAAGCGGAAGCCGTAGTCGGCATCCCCGACCAAATATTATTATTCGGTCGCGAAGTTCGGAATCATATGGGCAGATTTCTTTAATGAATTTCGAGTAGTAGGCTACCACGCCACCAGGAAATCAATTTGGAATTTGCGTACGTACGGGTGCATCTTCTCTTTACAGTCGTCAGCGTCCAGTTCGCAAAAATTAGCGGGATTATCTCTTCTGTGTGAGCTGACGCGTCAAAAATTGCACAGCAAAACTGCAAGCCAGTCAACCTCCCCAAAAAACTTATGCATACAGCATCAAATGAAAGCAGCGTTCACCTTGTAGTTATTCCAATCAATTGGATGGTGGCTTCCGTCACTGCAAAATCTGGTGTTGTATCGGGAAAAATCCACTTTGTCGAGGAATAACCCCAGTCCAGGCGCTTTGGGTAAATCCAACTATATATCAAAAAACCGTCATAGACTAAAAAAGTGAAAGCTTGCACGGCGACATGAACATTCTTTTGAGATAAAACACTTAAAAGTGGTCGCTGCAAATCTACGAAGATGTTCCCCTAATGAGAAACGCCAATTAGTTTTCGATAACCTTACATAGGAGAGGTGGCACTGAACAGAAGAAACTTGAAGTGCACGCATACCGAGTGTGGAGTTACATCATCCGCCAGAGGATAATTTGGTCTCGGAAGGTGCCGAGCCCTTTACAGGTGGAGAAAAAAACCCTGGGACTCCGTTTTCTGGACCCAATAAACTTGATCGTGTAATGCAGGCAGGCGCGTGATGTCTGATGGCGGACAAACTGTGGGGTCTGGGGTCGGATGAGGCGAACATCCGCATAAGGTTGTTGTAACTGGACTCGAAAACAAAATTTACGCGAATAAATGTTCTCCTGGCTGTAGGAGCTCGTAATTTCCTCAAGAACCGCGAGGAGTGCAGCTAACCAAACCCAGTCCAGAAATGGGGGGGGGGGGCGAAGTAAATGGGCAAGAGTATAAAGACGTGCGTAAAGCAAGTAGGGTCAGCTTTAACCCATGGTACAGGAGAGGAAGTTGGGTTCGAACTGGATGACGGTGATCCTGTGTCTGCAGGAGTTTTTGACAACTGTACGGATGACAGAGCAGCGCCAGATGCATACAAGAACACTTCAAATTAGACGAGAACTGGTGCGAAACAAGTGGAATAGAGTGACCACATGAAACGAAGCAATGCATGATTGCTACTGGTTTCAGGTATACATCGTACCTCATAGGGCTTCCAGTGGCCGACGAGGAACATCAGTAATCTGCCGATTGTCATGAGTAAGAGGGCTCTTTTGGTGTAGTGGAAAAGCATGAAAAAGCCCCATAATGTGACAATCTCGGTCGAGAACTTACCTCCACCTCCGATGGCAGTTTAACATGCATAAAATGAGATCAAAGTCGCAAAAAGTAGGCATTTTCGTGTTCAGGCGTTTAGAGAAAGTGCAAGGAGCACGGTGTGCGCAAACGCAGCAGTTCTTGAGATAACGTGTATTTTATGACTTAGGGTGAGATGGATGGATTAGGGACAGCCTCTACTTACCCGTTCACAATCAAAGGCCTTCTCGAAGATGGCTTCCGTGGTATACCCGGAAACTATGGCGATGACAAGTCCAATCATTTTGCGAATTTGATGAAGCATAAATGACTGGCCAACCACGGTAACTACGGCAAACTCACGGTCGCCATCGAGAAGAAAGGGCGTACCACACTCTATGGACATGATGTAACGACGGCAACTGACGTCGTTTGCAGTTCTAGGGCAAAAAATGAAACGTTAATGGGATTTCAGGCCGAAATAATAATGCTGTCAGAGGGTGATATACAAAATATCTACCTCCGTGAGGTGAAATTGAAGAAATTGTGCGTCCCCTTAAAATGGCCAAACATGTTATTCACAAGTGTCAAAGTTTCGGCAGACATGCGATATCGCCAGCAGTGTTCTCTGGAGAGGGAGTCGCGGGCAGCAAAGGCAAAAGTGGGAAGCAAGTATTGGTACACGCGATGATTGCAGGCTGTTTTCGAGGAAAAGTGTTGTGTCACTCGGAATACATCTGGAGAGAGAGTGGAAGGGGCAAGGAGACATTAAATGATGTGTGTTTAGATGCGGAGGAGAGCAGATACGGAGTTAACGGAGGCAAATATTTAAAAATAGATCCACATGAATGGGTCAAAGCTTATGTTAAGTCCCTGATATGACCGACACTGGAAGATCAATAACCGACAGAAGTGGTCGGGTATCACATTTACACTGCTGCACATACCTTATTGCTGAGCTTACTCCAAAATACCAGGCACTAAAAGCGGTCGACTCAAGGCGGTAGTTTGGGATAGAACGGTTGCGGGCTTCACGGAAAGCAGTGCAGACCTACTGCAGACGACCAAAATGATGAAATATGACAACCGCTATCGGCATGGTCAGTTCGGGGTGCGGTAATCTTTTTATGGTCAATCCGCGGCACACCGAACATTGCCGGCAAGAAGTCATTTCCTTATGCGGACCACGGTTGTGACCTCTCTTATTAGGGAAAAAGTGTATGTTTTGGGACGGGAATCAACCCTTTTTTCTATACAGGCGAATTTCCGGGCTACTAATTACTGCACAGATCAGCACATTTGCGTGGTTTTCTACCAGAAGGTATTAATCTAAATGAGAGATGCTTGCTAAGACCTCCGCCGGATTCACGCCGAATTTTTTGGCCATTCAAATCAAATAAGGTAAGTGGTGAATAACTACCTCATGTTCACAGAAACGGAGGCCTATTTTTTTTAATAATTTCGACTTGGAAATTCGTATAATTTTTCGTCCTGGAAAACGGTTATAACACCAACAAACAGGCTGTAATTTGATTATACCAAACATTTGCAGGCACATCGAAATATTCTATTAACTGTGGAAACTCCCAACACCAAGTCGACATTTGACTTCTGAGTATAAGGTAAGATTCTTTTGTGTGGTTTATTTACAGCCAATGCCTGGTTCGTAAAGAGATCCGGAATTGCGTCAGCCATTTATACGGCTGCCCTGTTACGCACATAAGTTCAATGGATTAGATCTCAAAGTAAGTAAACATAGCAAAGGCGGTTCCAAAATAAGGGAAAGTGCTTTTCTGCGACAACAAATTGTCAGTATCAGCCAAGGAAGGGCATGAAAGGCGAACGGCTTTAATTTTCTGCCCGACTTTGAAAATCAAATAAAAGGTGAGAGGTTCCATTCGAGAAACAAGCTAGCAAATAACTTCTTAAGGGGATGATTTTCTACGAATGTTTGTCATTTTATTTGAGCACATTCATCACAGGCCTTCCTTGTGTACGCCTCTTTCCTTCGGCGATCAGGTTCCTTGTTCAGGTGAGTCCATACACACAGTGGATGCGTTACCTAATTAAATGTTGGCCGAAATTTGAAAATGTCTTCGACTGGAGAATATTTCTTAGGTGGGGTTGTAATACTAGTTATTTCAGTCACACAAGGATGACGGCTTTTGAACCAGGTACTTTTTGGCCGTCTGTGAAAAATGGCTACTTAAACAGTACACATTTTATGCTGATTTTCGATATCTTTACAAATTCGAATATACTTTATAAGAAGCATGCACCAAAATATTCTTTTGTGTGCTCAACAGGGAGCAAATTGCGTCTTTTCCGAATGCTGTGGTCGAACGAAAGATATTGTTCGGTTTCAGAAAAGCCGTCAATCATGAGATTTTTTAAAATCGTGGAAGATCTCCCCATAAAACATCCATTCATTAACGATATTTATAAATTATGCAACATAGTTCACATCGATTGCGAAGTCCTATGAGGCCTATGGGGGGTCTTGTTCATAGCATATATAAATGTACGGTTCTTCTTATATGAAAAATACACAATTTCTGGCTTGAAAACCCTGGATGCAAGTTTAATGGCGGATAGGGTTTAAAGCTACTCGAAAATTGAAAAGGCCTTCTGAAAAAGAAAGATACCCTTTCTTCAAACATAACACTTAAATAAGACGTAATTTGCTACCAAATAGGCAAAAGAACACTTAATGTGCATGTAATCTATAAAGTAAGCCTTGATTTAAAAAGATGTCGGTCAACTTTACACAAGACACCACATCAACAATAGAGTCGGCATGGGCCGGTGAATGGTAACTGAGTCGTCAATCACTGTGGTTACTACGAAGGCCTACAAAATGCGAACCAACAAATAAGAGCGAGTAAGGCGGAAAACGAATGTTGATATGAGGTGTAACGGATATTAGTGGAGACCGATCTGAATTGCTGGTGCCGCTTCCCTAGTCTGCCACATTCTACCTCTCCAACCTGACCTCGGCCCTCTGGAACGGGGAGCATGAGAGATATAGCGAAAACCGGCTCCAAGTTGTCAGGCTCTGTAAATAGACTGCCTGCAGAAAATCAAGTTACAGGCGAGCAAACCTAGATCGAGCAAATGCGCAGCAAACAAAACACATAAGGCCCGTTAAACGAACTCCGGAACATGCTCGCTGCGCGCCCTGATGAATAATGCATTCTACAAATTCAAGGGACATAGGCAAACCAACAGTCCCCTTGAAAGACTGTCAGGATCGCAAATCTTGACTGGCGTTGATTATCAGATAAAAACAGTAGGACTCGCGATAGTGTAACCTCTCCCTCAAAAGTTGAATTTACTCGGCCGAGAAGTGCGGCTGTGTACTCTACAGACTTTAAGCAAAGTGCATGGGTTAAAGGTAGGATTAGTCTTGAAAAGCTCTTAAACGAAAAGAGAATGCTGCTCACCCAAGATGCGAATCTGGCGCGGAAGATGTTCATTGATTTTCTCCACGGGACTTTGGTCAGAAAGTGGGATCTGAAGAAAAGTCCCAAGATATTGGACTAATTACCTTTACATTGCAGACCTGGCCTACAGCCGAAACGTTTTTGTCAGTCTTAGACGCACGCTGAAAATTGATCTGCAATAAGAGAAAAAGGAGCGTAAAGTGTATGTGCAGATGTTCCCTAAAAGGACCGAGAGTAGCACTCGCAACCAGACAACTGTGCAATTACTGCGTACATGAAGCCGTCACTGCGAGTGTTCTACCAATTAAAATGAGAGAATATGTAAGGTGCTCGTGGTAGACATGAAGATCAATTTGGGGTCTGTACCTAGCAGTCAATGTAACTCAAAGCGAAAAACTCGGGGCAATTTCACCCCAACAGACTACTGTGGTAAGACACTAGCCCAAACCGAAAATGAGGTCTCTAGGGTCTGATCAAACCCTCTAACATCCGAATTCGTACTGAACGCCTCACCTTTTGTCCGTGTTACGAATATGCGCCAAAGAGGCTTCCGACTAATCAGACCAGAGTGAGCACCGGATCAATTAACCGGAATCTACTATATTCTATTTTTTGACTAACGCTAACGAGCTGTTTTTCAGTATGAGGACTGCTCTGCTGGGTGCACACAGGGAAACTTTTGAGATTAAGCCACCATTTTCGCACCTCGTGCCCCGTATGGGACAGACAGTAGACTAAGCTAGGGCCTTTTTGAAGGATGTAGACTCACGCACTCCAATCACTCTGGCGTATTCATAGCACGGATAGTTGCAGCTTTCTAACAACTTCTCACCGCTGTAACCTTTCTGTGCTCTTTCCATTGCGCATCAATTGGCCGATCACTTTGCACCGCAAAAGAACAGTTGTGACAAACAGATGTTCCGTCTTTAACATAAATCATTAGATAGAACTCTCTTTGCATGCCCTCGAAAGAGCACAGCAAGACTACAGTGATTTGCCTTTAGGAGACATGATAGACTGCTGGCATTTAGTTACCTACACCACCGCCATCCCAATGATTTTGAACGAACAGAAGAACATCAGGAGGCCGTTGGTGTGAAGAAGTCAGGATACACATCAACAAGAGATAATGTAACAGCCATAAAGTCACACAGAGGCATGAGATTCTATCCATATCTGTAAAATCCGTGCGACGATGCGTCATTTATGTGTCAATATCCCTCCCTTAACAAGGACTGAAGATTTAACCCGCCCCTACGTTTTTCAGAAAAAACACTAACTTCTTTCATGTGACGCGTCAATTATATCAGCATATGTCTTTTGGCGCTCGAAGACTTCGAAGACCTGATGGCCTTCATACTCGCCCCAACACTCCCGTAGACAGCGGCATAAAGAGCGCCGTTACTATCCTACCACTGCCTTACTGTGCGTTCCAAATAGAAGTGTGGGTTGTTACACGGACCAGAGCGCACAACTAAGCCCTAAGGTGTCTCAGAAAAATATTATCTTTAAAATTAAATCTCTTGTGTCGGGCCTGATCCGCAATTTTTGACGCCCCCTTATGTAAAAACTTTCGCACCACACTTTAAAATGAACATTCTCAATCTATGCCGCTCTTAGAAACCTGCTCTTGTCAAAACTGATAACATTTCCTTCTCTACACCGCAAGCTCTTTGGCCATCGGAAACTGCATCGGCAACATGATTTTGACTGTGTGAAGCTAGACAGGAGCGGTCGGCGACAGACACGCTGTATACGCCGCATGCGACTTAAGAAGAGCCTTTGATATGATGTCGCACTATCGACTCATCTGGAAGACGACAATAATAATAATTAGGGAAAGTTATGCAAAAGAAGTCGAAACTTCCTCGTTCGACATTCGGAAGCAGTCCGCATCGACCAACGACGGAGGCGCAGAGCTGTCAAGATTAACGTCCTACAAGCTCCCATGCAGAGGCCAAAATTCTCACTCACGCTACCAATGGCCGAACAACAATCAGGTTTCAAGGCTGCCATGTTTACAGATGATGTTGAAAAATTGTAAGCTCATCCACAGAGTTGCTAATGAAGTAAACTTCCAAACATCTTACTTTGCTGGGAGAAAATGTCCGCCATTAGTTCGTGTCTACAAGTTTGAGCAAATGCACTATACTGCACCTTGATAACGAAAGGCAAGACTCCAGTGCACGCGCCTATTATCTGAATTGGACACGTTCTTAGCACGCGTAAACCCGGCTGGATCCCGGAGTTCGAGTGATAACCTGCCCAACATCTCCCACTCGCTACTAAAACCGCAGCCTCGATGATGTACACAATCAGGTGGGCAAGTGGAAGCCTAGACGACAATTATTCCTCAAAAGTTTTCGGAGTTCTCCTAAGACAGCACCTTGAGAACGCAATCACGGTCTGGAGGCCCCCGATACCGCAAGCATACAAATTCCCCGGCAAGGTTCAAAAGTCAGCTATCCAATGAAGTAGAGGTCAAGAAACACTGCCGTCTGCAAAACTTTTAAGCAATCTAAAGTCCTTTTCTCTGGGTTATAGGCAACTACGTGGTGACTTGATGTAAACTATTTGTATTGTACCTACTTTGGATTGCGTCCCCAATACGCGCAGCCTTCTGAACTCGCAACTTTCCGCCGGAACATGTGCTCCCCAAACCCGGATGCAAAAAGGTGCCCATTCCTCAAATGAAGTCGTAGACTCGTACGATGGCTTGCCTGTGGTGCTTGTGGTCTCCAGCTCTGGAAACTTTCAGACAGTCATGACAGCCATACGATGCATCATCAAACGAACTAAGCTGCTGTTTCAACTATGCACCTCCTTACATATGAGGAGGTCCACTTGATCATACTGGCCGCTATAACTGCGGTAATTTGTCGTCCATACTCCCAGTTTACGTGTGACGAATTGAGTATTCAAGGAACATACCCACTTTCCCTTGGACAAACCAAACTGAAGTAAAAACTGTGCACACGTGACAACTCCAAAGAAGTCAGACAATTAATAAAAGTGGAACTCACTAGTCTCAATGCTCCTTCGTCAGTCATCTTTATCGACTTTTACCCCAGTTTATTATTTCTTACCTGCAGAGACATGCAGAATACTGAAAATCCCATTAACCAACGAATCTCATCGCCAACATTGATGCTGACTTAAATGTGCTGTTCCAAAAGGTTATTGTTCATTTAAATGGGTCTTGTTTCCATTTGATTTACTCGGCTCAAAACTCAGAGGCCACTGTTCACTGTCAGCTCTCGAAGTTGAATAACATTTGCAAAACCTCTGTTGTCTAACATCTACTGGAGCTCCACTTCCGTCTAACTCCTGTTCTTCCGAGTTAGCCCGTGTGTGTTAACTACTCTTATTAGTTCTTCGTTCTTCTAACCCACAATAATGGACACTTGGCATATGGCAAAAGACGTTCCGGTCTCTAAAAAGAATAAATCCTGAGTCTAAGTAACTTCGTCCCAACGAATGTTTACCAGCTTGTACGGAAGCTCATCTGACGAGATGTTCTAACGCAATCATATCCTTCCCTTCCCTTCAGTTCGGACAACCTGCACTCTGCACATAAATCAAAACCCGCGCCTAAGACGCCGTTGCTCTGGTTGACTATGCCGTCCATGGATATCAAGCCATGGGATTGCTCACCTACGCCTTATATGGGCTAACCACCCTTCTGCACCTAATACCGATCAAGGTATTATTCTTAATAAAAACTTCTATGCGCGCATCTGGTTCTAGGACCGATTCTTGGATTCCAGATTACCACCCTCCCTGACTAAATTTATCTACCTTCGTAGGTGTAAATCCACTCTTTCGAAAATGAGGGCCTTCTCAAGGTCGCTACCTCGAGAGCCAGGATGAAAAGGCTCCTTCTTAACGTGAACTACGGCACTATCACGCATGTGAGATGTAGCCGCCCAACCCCGTTGTGTGAAATCCTGGTGCTCGTGTTTGGAGGGCCAGGTCGTTTATGTGGCGTACGCAGACAAGATCACTAGACATGCCAGCCACCGCATCCATCCCCTGCGCCTTTCAACTGACCGGTTCCTACAGTGACTAAGGCTAATGAATGGGAAGGGAAAGTGAGGTCGACGACTCAGTGCATTGCCCTCACTATAAGCAAGTAAACGCGCCTGAAGCTATCACGGTGAGCTAAAAACCGTGGCTTGAAAGGTTGTCAACTTACGGGATAACTTGGACCTTTCAGTCGGCCCAGTGTTGTGTGTTTGTGCGGAGAGGCCGACTGGTGGTCTAAGAGTTAGGCTGCGATGGCTCCTTCTTAATGCGGCCTTTATGGCACACCCACTCCGAGGGATACGAGCCAGGTGGGACAGCACGCCTAGGGAAGGCTTCGGCCGCAACAGTCCCGTTTGCTGTTGGTCAAAATTCTGGTCATTTGTTGAGTGAACCAGGGAGTGCGGAGTGGAGCGCCAAGGTGCGGCTCGACTGCGCCATCCGCCTGCGCTCTCGATCGCCTCCAGTCTTCTTGACTCTGTCTTGATAATGGGCCCAGGTGGGGAGGAGTGTGGTAAATGCTGCGAAAGTCTACATTCCCTATAAATTAAATCACGCGCAAGCCACCGCGCCTGCTTCACTTTGCTGAGGAGCTTAGAGGACATCGTCGGATGGAACGGTCGAACTAACACCTCGTTCGCTCAAGTCTTTAAACTTCGCCTTCACAGTCGACACCAATTGCCGCCGAATGGCTTCTATTGCGTCAAAATACACTGAATTAACTGTCAGTTATATGTCCTCGAATCTATGGTCTCTTCTTACCATTTACTTAATACACGTACATGTGATGTCGATTCTGGCCGGTGGAATTCGCTAACGAGCATCGACTGCTTGTCACCAACGCTTTCTTGAAGCATCATCACAAACATCCACTGACATGGTGTTCGAACGACAGTTGCGAGAGCAGTCAGATCCACTAAATTCTAGTCAAATCAGGATTCTACAACTCGGCCCATGAGAGCAGATGGAGGAGCGCTGCCGAAAATGACAACGCCCAAGGTTCAGACCACTTTACCGTCCGCACCCGCCTAAAAGTCCACGAGCAAGACGGCTTAATGTCGCTAAAATACGACAACCAAACATAACTGAAGTTATGAACGTAAAATTCGGGTATATCTTTACGATCCCAGTCGGAGCATAAGGCAGTAGAAAATGATAATCACTGAAGTCATCGGTCAGCGAGATAGCTACGAAATATTGGGATAACCCAGCAACGCTGTAGTGACTGGATCGTCAGAAAACCCTAGAAAGTGACGAAAAAATCAGCTATCTTCTCGAATTTCATTACCAACTAATTGTGCCCCGGATCTCCTTTGAATCACAGTTTTATTCCTCTTCAGCCCATACCGTTTCGTTTGCCCACGCCCCTCCGGCATCCCCCAACCAGTTTTTTAAGGTTATGGATGGTGTGGCGCTCAGCTGAAATATTGGCGAAAGCTGGAAGTGTTTGATCGTTTCCAAAGAACCATTATTCGAGTGAAGCACACTGATTTCATCTCGAATGAGACAATCCCATTCACTGCGACAAAGTTGAGAGCACGCTTCAGGCCATTCAAACGTGATGACTAAGGGGATTTTGGCACGTTCTTTGTCGTTCTTAGAGTTACTGACCTCGATCCAGCACTGTTGCATACTGGAGGCGTTGGAGAAAAAATTGACTCAAAACCTGGCTTTACAGTTTTCTTCAAGGCATGATGGTGGTTCTTAGGTCTTCCATTTGCTTTATGTCGCTGGGGCAGGTAACGGGTCGAGTTCTCGAGGTCCGTTGTCAGATTGTTGGGAGTGGAGAGGTACAAGTCGTGACGTCGAGGCTGACTAGACTGGGTATTATCGCACCTGTACTAAGAGCCACAATAATAGAAACGTTCCTGACGACTGGGGCTCAATCATGCTTGTCCGTGATTTCGAGGGCAGAGAACAAACCGTATTAACTAGTGCGGTACAGTCGGTATTGGTATTGCTGTGAATGCTGTTGTCCTCTTCATTCTCAGGTTTCGAAGTGTACGTGCTGGAGGTAAAAAGCCAGTCAGGTCGGGGTCGACATGGAGGCGTTGAGTTGGCGAAATATTCAAACTACAGCACAGGATCTAGTTCTGTAATGGCAACCGGCAGCTGATGGTCACTCGCCAGGTTGGAATCTCTGCAATAATAGTTTCCGCTACCTTTGAGTTCCTATGGAGGGTGACGGGGCAAGAATGCGTGCCAACAAAACGTATTACTGTTATTACACGTACTTAACTATTCAGGTAGGAAAGGCTAAGAGCGTGATCCAGCTGCTCGAGCACTTGTCCACAACAAGCATTCACAACCATCTCTGATTCGGAAAGGCATTTGATGGGAACAAATTTGCCGCCTACTCCACTAATCGTTGACACTAATCGGATCCCAAAAATGCTGCGTACGGACTTGACAAATTGAATCTGTAAATGAAGCTCAGCAAACTAATTTCGACGAGGTGCTCATAGAGATATCAAGCCATTGGGACATATGGAGTGTGGGCCCCAGTAGACCGCAGAACCAGCTGGTTAGTACGGTAACGCCATAAGGAAGAAGGCATTTTTGATCTGCATCTCCAAACGACGGAAGCCTCGTGATTGACGGCGATCGGTTTAAGAAGGCAGTTTCAAAAAATAGCGTGGATAAGCCTCTGCCAAACAAACAGTGCATCAGTATCGCTATCGGCATAGATTAAGCGTGCTATCTTTTGCCAAGCCCTTGAAGCTTTTTGTTTGTACTTTTTAAGGTGTCAATCATTCCAGTAAGGCTGGTACATCTGGCCAATTCTTTTTTGTGCCTGCCTATGTTGGCTCCTTTCGCGTAAAAGATGGGACAGGAGTTAGCGATTTCCGACCGTCATTGGCCGGGGATGATCTTATACTTAAAGTACTTATATTTTGTCTCGAATAAACAGTTCGTACCCGCTAAGAAAACAGCACACGTCATCGTCGGCCAGCCAAAAGGACGAACATTTCAGGCAACCTAACATTTCATGTGGCATGACGTTATCCGTAGTCAGCAGTGTCCCGATCACTAACACCATTTACGAGATCCAAGAAATTGGCCTGCTTAGCATTTAAATTATGATGTCCCAAGAGCCACTTATGTTAAGTGAGGCAAAAAGCTAAGCCAAATTTTCTGTTTAAGAATTCGAAGCAGTAGTGATGACCATCCCTATTCAGTGTGGTGGCTGGAGTATTCATCTGTGGACAAGAGGCTCGAGGACATCGTGACCGACAGCCTTGAAGAAGCATCCCGAAGAGGACGGCATCTGTGCTCATAGAAGAACTAATTTTTTCATCAAACTTTACTGAAGGCATGGAGGGACCGCTTATAGAAGAGCGAGCGAGGGAGGATGCAGACCACCGATTTCTATTAATTCGCAATTTACGGGCTTATTAGAGAACACATAAGACGCATCTGGTTTGGAATTACAAAGGTTTCTCGTCAACTTTTGTTCTGTCTCGGTTACCTTTTAGGCTCAAATTGGTAGGCATAAGTACACATAAAAAGGGCACGTACCAGTGAAGGGTTATCCAGATGATCTTTCGAAATTAATCCAGATTTATGCAAAGCCAGTAATAGGTCACCCTCGATCGTGCGGAAGCCCACATTCCTATTGAAGAGTAAAACAAATATTTCTTCTTTGCTTGAGGGACATAACGACCAACGAGACTGTGCCATAATGTTTTCATAACATTGAATGCAAGAGATCGACCAATATGTTGCAAGCCTGAGCACATTGACAGTACAAAACGGTCCTTAACACAGTTAACAGTCACTGGTGGTGTGTTCAGTTTAGGGATTTCCTATTATCGTTAGGATCTAAGTAAAAATGAATCCGAAAACGTTAGAGAAAGTGAGATTAATTCTTTCAGTTCACCTTTAACAATAAATGTGCCAAAATTCTTATCAGGACACAAACATTTAGATTTTGACCGCAGCAATAAACAAAAGATGTTTACCTTTGCATTCCATAATAGTCCCAACCAGAGTACATCATCAATATAGCACAATTTCGTCGCTTTTCAGCACGTGGTACGTTTTCATCAAGTTTGGGAGCTTTGGATTCTAGGACGGCATCCTCGAACTCTCGTAAACGTTTTCCAAGCAATATTAATTTATCTGACATATTCAAGCGAGGAAGGATAAGCTTTAACAAAGAGCGAAAAGGTGGCAGCATGCAGGATGGCCTTAATCACGAAGTCCAAGTTCCCTTTCCCGTCTCTCTTTTTCCAATACTGCTTCGGCGTACTCTTTTCTTTGACTCTTGTAAGTAGAGTAGTCGAAAAGATAATGCTTTCCGAGTTTAAAGACAATATAGCCGGTTATTGCGACGCCCAGCGAAGCGGACACTACTACCGTGGACTTGAAGGCTAGCCCTCGAATTTGTCTCCAAACGCTCGGGCGATACGCACGGGAGGTTGGTGGCATACCCACACTATTGCAAGGTGCCCGGCTTAAATGGGATAAATACAAACAATAAAGTGGCTTGAAAATAATCATGGCCCTCAGACTCATGGACCTTATAAAATTCTTCAGCATTAAGGCTAGAATTGAGGTTCCAATATTCTAGTTTATTCGACTCATCCTCGGAATTGATATATGGAAGTCTTGAACTCCGAACTATTATTATTACCTGCATTCGAGATCGAGTTTGTTATCATTCATAATTTTTTTGCATTTGTATCCACATTTTGGCTCTTGAAAATGATTTGGAAACGATTTATAAGGGCCTTTTTTCCCTAAAGCGATCAGTTCGTTGCTTGACTGTCGGCACGCTTAGGTGGGCAGATTGGTTTCTTGTTCTATGTATAATTTTTGGGTCGTCTTCCTCAGAAATCCGATTAGTTTCTCTTGCTTTCAGCGGTTATACACACGGCTAGGACCAACCTTGCTTGATGACTCACCTAAAACCTTCCCCATACAGCATTTCTATATGGGTTCTATTTGCTTTCCTTCTGTGGAGTCCGCACATATCGGTAGAAAGATGCCCTGTTATCTATGACTAAGTGGAAACGTGCGCCAGTAACAAATACAGAAAGTTCAGCCTCTGATGTCTGCAAATTTAAAACTTAATTAGTTTGGTGAGGGACAGGTAAGAATAAATTTCAACAGGGGAGCGCAGTATGAGGTACAGTCTGAAGAGCAAATTTGATCCAGTAGTAAATGAATTTTGAGCAAAATGTCAAAGTTTACTGCATTCCTACGGCATATTTGGCCAGTTTAAACAAGTGTTTAAACGACTATTTGGAAAAGTTACCTCGAACACTGAAATTCTTTAGACTTAGACGCTACTGAGGGAGACGCCTGAGAACTTTCTCGGTCATTATCATTTTTCATAAATTTTAGGCAGAAAATTAGTAGAACTCGTCTTTAGCAACGAAAACTATGTGAGACTCCCGCCTGTTGAAAGTGATTTGAGCGCTTTTTGCTGTCTTTTGCCCAACTGCTGCGACGGGGAAAATTTAAATTATGCACTACGTGGTGTTGTCAAAAGATCCTGTACAATGAAAATGATCGCAGTCTATAATCGGCTAAAATGGCAAGCGGGTCATGAATTATTGGTTTCATTTTCAGAAGGAAACACATGCGCGATAAGTATCTACATATCTGTGCAACCTTTGCGCAAACGCCATCTGCAGGCAACAATAAAGCTGGCTTCTTCACACAATGTAAGCCTACGTCCTCCATGGTGGAAACTTCTAAAAGGGGGCCAGTTTGGATGATCCTGAGACTAGGACGCTTGGCGTAACCGAAACACATAAAACCACATTTTGGCGGAAGAAAGTCGGTCAGCCGAATTGAACTCAATTATTAACGCAGAAATTTGCACTGTCATCAGAAGAGAAACAACAGTGTTTAGGGTATCAGTATAAACTAATCTTCTTCGAATTACTCATCAACGTTGAAATGTTGTTCCTAGTTGCCGGCAATTGGCGTGAAGATATTTCAGCTGATCGGTCGCTTTGCAGCTGGACGCGCATATTTGTAGTTAATTTTAACTTCAGGACATGGCGTCACAAAGGAGAGTGTATCAGGCAAGCAGTAGCAATGCGTCTCCAAATGGTATGCTGTTTCTCCGCAAATCTTGCAGTAATCAAGCAAGGGCCTCGAGCGTTTTCGCGCGCCATTGCGCATTCATCCTAAGCAATAAGTTTGCATTCCTGTAGTACGTTTCCTCCGCCGGAGGCCTGGAAAATAATGCACGTTGGAGTTTCAGTCAATTGCACGTTAAACATCACTTTCAAAGCAAAATCAGCAGTTCTTCCGCCGGGTGACAAGGTTTCAGATATTCCATACGACATCAGTGCTACGGCTGTGTCATTTTTGTGTTTAATTGCTGTCAGAATCAGTCTGATTAGGAACGTTTTGCCAGCCCCTCCTGGCGCATCTGACAATAAGATTCCTTTAACCCCTTTATCGGCAGCCCGCATTTTTGATCGTATGTGCCATTCTGCTCCATTGTTAATTTAGGAATGTATGGCTGCAGATATGACCGAAGATCATCGGGTTGTAGTTTCGCTCACGGCGCAAATCCACATCTAAAGAAGCAGCGACAGGTCGGTTTGGTGATGGCATTCCCAGCTGATTTAGAGCTTTGTTCGTGATTTCTATGTAAATGTCCTCAGTCATTATTAACGCCTCGTTGTAGGGTTCTGCTGTGAAGTCCAAAATAGAATTTTCCTTGCGTAATCAACGAAAGATATCTTCAGCAATGTGCGATTTATATGGAAGGCAGCAGTAAATTGGCGCATGACCGGCTTCGAAAAGATCACGTTTGACATCTGCGAGAGGTGGAGCGGTGTCACTGATAAAGACAAAATATGGAATGTGTTTATACTTTGTTTGTTAGCGAACGAAATGAGATCAGTTCAAGCAATAAATAACAACATGGAATTGTCTTAGTGGGTGCGGAAATAAGTTTGAAACCAACGTTTTTCTGAAAAGTTAAAATCTCTTACAGTTATTTTGTCATCAAAGGCAAATTCCAAAGCTCATTCTCAGATATCAAAACATGTACATAGTCCTGGATGACGAGCTTGGGTGACTGTGGATGTGACCAAGAGAAACCCTCCCTTAATGCAAACCAATAATACATAAGAAACAGAAGTATACTGAGGATGAGAGGGCATTGCGAAAGATTAGAAGGTATTTTCAGGCGGATCTTACACACAGAAGGCAACCATGACCAGGCACACTAACGCGCTTTTGACGCTGAAAATCAAAGTCATCTATAAAAACAGAAGGATCAGAAATCAAAAGATGGGTCCAAAATTCGGTTACACATACACTATCGGATGTCAGCTCCAAAGCAACGGTCCTATCTCGAGCCATTCTATTTACTACAAGCCTACCATTCAGCAATATAGTACCTAACGTATGGCGAGTAGTGGGGACATAGTTAACGTCATTAAGAAAAGTAGGTCAGAAAAACCTTAGGATTCTGTAAACCAGAATTTTTGGAGAAATGGTACTAATAGTTCTAGAACTAACGATACGGGAATAGCCAACAATGAACGGCCGAGACGAGGTTCTAAATTATTTTTGAATACATCTCTTGAGGTATCGGATTATTATCAGAGTTTAAACACGGATAAGCTTGTTAGTAGGTAAGGTGATAAAGGGGAGACTAGAAGGAAGACGGAGTCTAATGAATGTGGACAACCAGCTGTAATAAATTAGTGGTGGGAAGCATGAAATTGGACTGAGGTTAAAGGGGTTGGGTCGATTTACGAAGTAACAAAATACAGGACAAGCAGTTGGCCTAAATTTGGTACGTGGAATGCCAAACAAACAAATTACGAGGTCATAATCAGGTTCATGAGGTTTTCAAAGGCGTACTAACTCGAGAAGGTGTTGTGATCCATCAAATGAAAATAAACCGCATTTTATTAGGGGTTTGATCAAGTTCGGTTTTTGAATCGTGTTGTTTTTATGGTATGGTCCATAAGTTTCGACGTAAAAACACGAAGAATTACGTTGAAGTGGAGAAAATGTCGGCCACGCGCGAGAATTTCCAATTTGGTTTCAAATTGCAAAACTCAGCGAAACTAACCTTTATTTGAAGTCTTTTCTAATGGATGCTCTTACAGCCTGTCCTTAAAAAAAACTTTTTTCCATTTAGCACCCCATAAGGATATCGCCACAGCAGGTGCAAATAGATTTCCGAGAGCATTTTGGGACAAGTAGGCTTGCAAAATAGGCAGTCTAATGAGGACGATGGGAGAACTCTTTTTTGAAAAAGAATGAATTTGTGTAATTTAACTAATTTTTAGTGAGAAAAAACCGTCGCGAATGGCACGGTAAATATGCCGGTCGGACAGGGCCGTCTTGCAGGTAAGACTACGTGAGAACTCGAGACGGTTCTCGTCAGGGTTAAGTTCCCAAACCAGTTGAGGCACTTCGCTGCAGACGCGATCCTACAGTTTTAGGTTGACAACACACTCAACCGTCAAGACGGCGAAACAAAGGAAACCCAACGCGATCGGTCGCAGTTTTTCTAGAATCCAGGCGAGGAGGCGATACTGAAGGCTGTTTGGATCATCAGATCGCACGGAGATTCGACCATGTTACTTCTTCCCTGACCGACCAAGCTACTAACAGATGGCGAAAACAGAGAAATTCGCCGTGATCGTCAAAATATAGTTGGGGATTGATATAGGGAAAATCATCATTCGCGAACGTATAGAGAAGGGCAGAGTAAATCCTTCATGGGGGTAGGATGAAAGCATGGCGATCTTGGGTAATGGCAGACCTCGGCCGGGACTGACATTGGGAAGGGAGGCCAAAATTTCAGCGGCCAGAACGGATTCCTGATAAGGGTTGGTGATAAGCGAAACGGGGGCGGCATAGAGCGTTCACGTCAACATGTCCCCACTATTTCTCTAAGGGAATTGGTTAAAGAGGACAGCGCGCCCAGTGAAGAACACGATGCATGGACTGAAAAATCGAAGCAATCGAAATTTCTGATGAGTGATCATAGGAAGTGAAACAATACACTCAAAGAGAAATGCGAGCAGATACTCTACTTTCGTGGCGCGATCCTAAAGTTCCGACGTTCCTGCCTCAAAGTCATAGAGAAATATGCCCCGACAGGATGAGGAAAATAAACTTCATCTAATCAGTATTCAGATAAAGGTACAATGTTCTCTTAAGTCATGTTGATTATCTGATTATCTTAAGTCCACCGGAACGTTAATCCAAAGGTAAATATGCTTAGAAGCGAAGACAGAGGTCCGTTTGTGGGTGTGGGAATTGGGAGGATCTATAATCAAGGAAGAACTACAAAGAATGTATGAGCGACCAGCAGGGATAAGGGCTGGAATCTGAGGACATTTGCATTATTATTAATGCCATAAAGGAGACAGAAGCCTGATTCTCGTCCCCGAACCCCTATAAATTTGACGTTCGCAGGCCGGCACTTATCTGAGTAGGAAATATCTGGGTGCGCCTTACTTAGGACTCTTTGAGATTCACACTGATCACAAACTCCTCTTAGGTTTACTGAGTGAAAGTCGAGGGATGCGACAAAATGTTCTCGCCGAAGGTACAACCATGGACACTCATAACTCCTAATTACACAAATGCAATGAAATAGGTTAAAAAATGCTGCGGACGTGGTGGTTGACTCCCTGAGTAGGCGTTGCATCGTAAAAGATGGCACCGACGGATATCAACATTTGAGACAGTGAACATTTTACAGAACATAATCAGAGCACCCATAACCTTTCAACGAATTATACAAAGGACATTGAGAGAGCCCTCATTCAATTCGCCTAAAAGCCTCATTGCAATGTGGTTGGTCATCCTCTGCCTCCCATGATTATCAACCATTCCACAGCCACCAGAACGAATAAAGTCTACGAGCCGGATGCGTACTATAGTAAAATCGCGTAGGGGACCTCTGCACACAAACTGTACGCTCCTTTTTCTCTTATTGCAGATCAATTTTCAGCGTGCGTCTAAGACTGACAAAAACGTTTCGGCTGTAGGCCAGGTCTGCAATGTAAAGGTAAATAGTCCAATATCGTGGAACTTTTCTTCAGATCCCACTTTCCGGCCAAAGTCCCGTGGAGAATATCAATGAACATCTTCCGCGCCAGATTCGCATCTTGGGTGAGCAGCATTCTCTTTTCGTTTAAGAGCTTTTCAAGACTAATCCTATCTTTAACCCATGAACTTTACTTAAAGTCAGTAGAGTACAAAGCCGCACTTCTCGGTCGAGTAAATTCAACTTTTGAGGGTGAGGTTACACTATCGCGAGTCCTACTGTTTTTATCTGATAATCAACGCCAGTCAAAATTTGCGATCCTGACAGTCTTTTAAGGGGACTGTTGGTTTTTCTAATAATCGGGAAGTGTATGGTTTGCGCACGTCGTAGACTTAATATTGTGTGAGATTCGCTACTGCTTTTATTTTCGTAGGTGTTGTTCGACTGCGTTTTTCCCATGTACCACCTATGCCTTTACTTCTTCTATGTATTTCATCGGCTTGTACTATCGACTTTCCAAACAACCGCCCGAGAGCTGGGTGTTGCAGGAGTTGTAGCAGGCAGCCCTCATGACCGGTCTGGCGCCATTTTTGTGGACCCCGCCGCATCAGGTTCATTCACCCTTTACAGTGAGCCATTTCAGACGCTCTGACCTGGAGTCACACGACCGACAGCTCCGGCATACCAGGGTCCGTACAGTCGCAGCTGCCAATGAGGCCACTTGAACGTACCTCCCCATGCAACCTGAACCTGAGCTACTGGGACACCACCCCTTGGCAAAAGCAACGCACACTCACTGGGCACCACTTGGTCTTGACCCACGAGCCTACAAAAGCAGCTGCCACCACTGTCTCAGGGACTCTCATGAATGAATGGACGTAGTAAACACCAGCCCTGGATTCGCCAGTGACCACTGCCGCCACTCCGGGTTCTGTGTACATTAAACACCTCATTCTAGTGCCTTCCGTCTACTCCTTCCAGCATAGGGTTTGTCCTGATTATGGTAGCGCTCGGACTACACACTCACACCGCTTAGTCGCTACAGAGGGTCTGTATAGGCTTATTATTGTACTCCTCATTCCGGACGCGATTGATATTATGCTACTGTTTTGTTCGCAATCTACTGCATATCAGAGGGTGAGTATTTTGAAATTACTTTTACAAATGAATCTTTTTAGTGCTCAGAAAATCGGCTTTTGCGTAATAGTCCCATCAGGCTTACCCATTGCTCGTCTACTTCACAGGGTACACCGCGATGTGGGACAGGAAGCTTTCCCATGCCTGTTTTAGGTCAGCATTTTCTAGTCTTATCCATAAACGATATGGTCGGATCTTATTTCGTAGGCGTACCCGCAGTAGACAAGCCCCAGCCTAGCGCCTAACCCCTAACCGTAACCTCTAATAGGTACGGCTACGAAATAAGATCTTGCCGAAGATATTGTATCTCGCCAGTGTGGGCCCACAAAGCCCCGCCTGACACAAAGCCTCCTTCATGTCATGTTCTTCTTGGGCGGATCCAGGTGGTCTGCGTCTTACAGTTTGTGTTGGCGGCGGTCTGCGTTTAAAAAAGAATTAGTTCAGAGTTTACAGCTATTTCTTAGTGTTGAAATTATCACCTACCTAGATATATTGATGCTTACATCTACATGGATAAATGTACTTTCTGTGCTTCGATATTCAAGTTGTGACTGTTTTCGTTCTGAAATCTACGTTATATGCCATGACTTATTTCAAATACACACAGTGGGTGACCTAAGTCATGAACTAAGTCGAAATTTACGAATGATTGCTAATCACTCGCAAACTGACACCACTCGATGGACTAAACTTTAGGAGAATTTAAAGCATGAAATAAAAAATAAAGGCAATGTTGCGCTGTTGAGAAATGCCAATTTCTGAGAAAAGCGCAAAATCCCGAAAACGTCAGAATGGTAGCAATTTGGTAAACTTCATTTTTAAGTTTTCGAAAAGTCCGTCCATGGGAAAAACTGGGTGAATATAAAAGCACAAATAGAATGACAGTTAAGAATAATGTTTTAGTGAAGTTTTCATCTAAATATCCTTTAAGGATTAGTGTAATTCCACGTATGGCGCTTTGCCAGTTTCACAAGGATTCGTGATATCCCTTAGTCTTTTGAATTAATTGAGATGCGGTTAAATAATAAAAGCAAGATTTCGCCGGCAGGAACATCATAGGCACAAAAGTTTTCATAAGGTCACATGTTGCCGGGTCGATTAGTGTCAAGTAATTTTAAATAGAATTGGCATGTGTAACGGTAAACACAACATTTTGTGGTTGTAAAGAGAACTTTTCTTCCGTTAAATTAATTTGCAATTTTCGTTCGTTCAGGATTACGTTGAGTTGCAGATCGGCCTTGAATTATCGAGGAATATTTCGCGATTTTCAGCCTTTTTATCCGATATCCCATAAGGACAGATTCCGTATTGTGTCTGTTAAAAACTTTAAAATAAGGTACTTCTTGGAGGCATTTACCGAAGTAGCGGAGGTTTGGGCATTCCTTTTCATCTAGAACGTAATCTGGGTCACATTTAAAAACTTACGCAAACAGGAACCCTCATCGTCGAATAAAACTGACGTCCACAACTAATATGCCTTAGATCAATTAGAAAACTTTCTCTAATTAATTACCTCTATAAGAAGCGCTTTGATACTGCACTCCGTTGACGGATGTCTGAGTAATATTTTCAGTGAGGCCAAGAAAACATCTGACACTTTCGGCCGCAAACGAAAGAACACGCCTTTTTCTTTATATTTCGGCCATTTAAATTGTTTTTGCTTAACTTGAGACTCCGTTCTACGATGATGAATGCACGGCTGTGTGGCCATGTATACACTGATAGGTTGCCGAAGATGTTAACGTTTTGCTCGTTCCTTTTATTAGTTAGGTACGTGCAGAAGCTGGATTGCACAAACAGTACTATTTAATATGTTCAGAGCTGAAAATGACAGTTCGACGGTGGTCGTTCCTGTGACAACACGTAGAATTTTCTAAGCGGCAAAACAATTTTAGCCCAGTTAAATGAAAGATCGCCTGTGTGCGTTATTACTGCACTTTAGGGCACAAAATCGCACAGACCTGCTAATCTGAATTCTATACATCAACAGAACATCTGGTTCCCTTAAAATAATGTTTTTTAGGAAGTTGATTACCACGGTTGCCATCGGACAAAAAATTAATTTTCAAGTCCGACAACCTCTGTTTATTAAAACCTTCTGGAGTAAATTACTCTCCTCCCAAGGAAAAACCCGCTCAGATGGGCAACCGAAGTCCAGAACAGGTATTAGCATAGGAAACTGTCCGAGTATAACGCGACGTCCATTTTCGATCAAATTGATGAGCATTTGCTTAGAGAAAATTACGTGGACACAATTTCTGCACAAGACGAGTACATTTCCTAAAATAGGCTGGGCGGGCAAGCAAAATGCGCAACGTTTAAGACGTTCTAGATTCTCACATCAGATTCTGTCACCAGGTTTTATGAGATAGGCCACGTACTGTATACCTGCACATGCATTTGCATACCATGCCTCCTTACATCAGTAGACTCGACTTTTCCTGTTCTTTCTCACCGTTAGAGTTCGTTCTTGTTCTTAGTTTTGCATTTTTTTGTAAATTCTTGTCCGTCAATATGTCTCATGGCATGGCTATCAGTCTGCGTTGTTTGTAGGTCGCTTACTGCATGCGGCCAATTACCATTGGCAACTATTTCCCTTGGAGCCTGAGCTTCAATTATTTAGTTGACGGCGGCTTATTCAGTTGCCTGAATTTCCATGAGAACCGTTTTGGTTACTTTTTCGATTTTGTGCCCTTACCGTCGAAGCGCATTCGAAGGTTTCTATGTAATTTTTTCTCTAATTTCTCCATATCGTTTTCCGTGCGCCCGATGGCCAAACTCGTAGAACCCCTCTTACGACCACGGGCGTTAAACAGGCTGCTCAGGTTATCTGTTTTTGGCCCCGGATACAAACCATACCCTCGCCTGGCAATCAATACCAATCAAAATTTGCGAACCTGAAAGCCCTCCATGAGGACTGTTGGTTTGCTTATGTCGCATAGATTCGTAGAATACATTATTGTTTATCAGTGCGCGCGGCGACCATGCTCCACAGTTCGTTTAAAGGGCCCCTGTGTTTTGATTGCTATGCACTTGCGCGATCTAGGTTCCCTTGTCTGGAACTACATTTTCTGTCTATTTACACAGCCCGACAACGTGAAGGTATACCATTTAAGCCGGTTTTCACCGTGTTTGTCATGCTCCCCGTTCCGGAGGGACGAGGTCAGATTGGAGTGAGGATGTGGCAGCAGCTATTCAAAGCGGGCCACAAACCAAAGATCCACCTGAGCATACTATTTGCTCTTGCATCATTGTACGAACTAGGATCTTTAGTAGAAAACATGATAAGTATCATTGTAATCAGTGTCGTACAAATGCCCCAACGTATTCATTTTAACAATTTCGGACATTGGAAATGAATGTCGTACGCTGGATCCGCCCATAGAAAACAGCCCTGCGTGATACTGCGTCATCACGTGGAAGTAGCTGGACCGCCATCCTGACGCACCAATTGATTATGAACAGTGGCCGTTTCCAGTTATCATACAACGTCGAATGGTGAATTTGTTGATTTTGCTTTCTCCATAGATCCCAAGGCTGAGACTTATCGTTGGTTCGACTAGAAAGCAAATGTCTCATAGGCACGAGATTGTCAGCTACAAACCCATTTGTACTTGACGTAGCCCATCATTTTAAAATTAGTGTTCCCATGAAAACTAGAATAAGTGTGACAAGCATGCAATAGATGGCGATCAGTGTGGCATACCCTGCACGCGACTAGTTGATGTTGCATCATTTCCTAATGTTTTGGCAATGATGCTCAACCGACCTCCCACATTAGCAGGTATAACCGAGGTGATGTCATTCAGTAAAGCATGCTTATAATCTAGCTCAGGATAGGGGACGTGTTAAATGGAAAGATCGGCAGCATATTATCCTACAGGGAAAACACCCGTAGGTGCATGACGGGAGCAAACAAATAATTCCTGCGAACGCAATGCCGACTCAAGTAGACTGGCCCACATCCCCCTTTCACTAAAATGCCGACGGATGCCGGACATGCTAATTATGCAAACTGTTAGTGTCTTGGAACCTGATGTTGTTCAGGTAGATCGTTTATGACGGCAGGCGCCACTGGACCTCAAGCTGCCATCAGAACTCATGATAGAGGCACCGCACACCAGCCGATTTTGCGTACCTCGCATGAAACCACTTGTGCAGTAGTTTTGTGTCCAGACCAGGGTACACGGACTTTATTCATCGACAAACCGCCATATCGGACAAACCTCAAACCATGGTACAACTCAAAGACAAAACTTGTCCTTCAAAGTAACCGTGGCGTGGTGGATGACTCCAATGTCGCCGTTGGCGCGGTGGTCAAGTAAGTCGTTAGTTTCACTCTATCTATACTCTTCTTAAAGAAGTCCCCACTTGCTAGGACCCGCTACGGCGCATTACAAGGATAACTTCCCTCGCTACTGGCGATGGCCACACCGCCGCCCTTCGCACCGTTCCTCTACCAATATTCGCTACCCGCAGGACCACTCTTACCCAGGGTTGTTCTTCGACAAAATGTGCCCTACTACATGACGGGTTGCGTTATTCAACGTGCTGGCTGCTCACTCCCGAACCAGAGGGTTGTGGTGCATTTTTCACGAATTTCGACCAAACCGCTACACTGTAAGGATCCTTTGAAAACATGGCGCACTGTATCCCAGGAAGGCGCGAAATTAGCCAGAATATGTGAAACCATCCAGTTGAAAGGAAGGCGGTCGCATCGGCTTCTGCAACCGAAGATAGTTGCCAAATGTGATAGATTGCAAGGCTCTTGAGTCCGTGGACAACTCCTAAAGACATGGGACCGTAAACAGATGCAGATGAAAAAGGCATAAATGAAGGTTAACGGGCAAGTCTCTGTGTTGTTCAAAATGCTGCATAGCGGGGGAGGAAAAAGGGGTGTACACAGTTTCCACCGTCTCAAAATCAGGCATCCTTACGTGGTCGCTTTGAGGGTAGCTTCTTTTGACTCCTGTTTTTTGCAGATGCTGAAAGAAGACATAAAAGACTCGAATAAAGACCCATGAATGGGAACAGTCCTCAGTCCGCATCTGGCGAGGCGAATAGAAGAGTCAAGCAACGGAATGGCGACTTCTGCGCCCACTATAACCTGAATAGGAAACAGTCAGCAGGAAAGATGTTTCGAGTAGGGGATTCAGCTGCCATTTTCAGAGACTACAACGTCCATGGCGCAATAACATTATCGACAAAGACAAGGCGGACTGGATTGGCCATTTCTGGCTTATTAACCGTCGTCAGTCAGCCATATCCAGCCCTGAGGTGTGCAAAACTCATGGCTCGATCCCGTGACCAGTTGGCTAGAAGTCCAACACCCCTAACCACTGAACCACGGGCTCGCTTTCCTGTCGGTCGCGCTCGGAAGTATACAATGACAGAGAGACGCTGGCTGACGACGGCTAATAAACTAGAAATGGCCACTCCAGTCTCCCTAGTCTTAGTCAGTAATAACATTCTGCCTATATCATGCGCCGCTGTGCCGTTACTATTCGGGCTCGAGAGAGAGCCTCAAGGCACGACGTGTCGACTGAATTTCGTAACACAATCACTGAGCGCCCCTTTGCCCTTGGCCCAGACTGTGCTATAAGACGCGTGCCTGCTTATGTCTGTTGTTCAAATCGTGAGCACCGAATGCTGGGGAGTTACGCAGCGATGAGAAGTGGGGCAGAAGACCGTCAGCCCTACCTGAGGCTCTTAAAATATTGCAGTCGCTATGGAAAGTAAAATTTGATATTTACAAGCATTGAAAATCATAGCGAAAAAAGCATGCTGTCTGAGATGCTTTAAATTATAATGGTAGTTTACACGAAATGATAATAAACTAAAACCAAGCACGTTACTGTGTACAAATCAACTTGACTCTTAAACTAGTAGGCTTGTAATTCTAGTAATCAATTTCTCCAATTTCGAAGTATACCTGAATGTGTCCTAAGTTTTGGCTTGGCATGGAAGGAGGTCAGAATCTCTCATGTCAGGGATGAGCATACTTAGACAACGAAACGACAGCACGCACGTTCGGTAACCAAAATTCTTGCTACGGAATCTGACGAATCTCCGTCAAAGGAGAATGCCTGAGTTTGTGTAGGTAAGCTCCAGCTCCCCTCTTTCCGAATCCCTTCTGAGTTTCAGTCTCGCCGGGCTTATTGAATGGTCTTAAGGACCCGAAAAGCTAAGCTGTCATTCACTTATCGGACAACCCGAGACTGACTAATTTGATAACTAAAAGAAGATCGCCTTTTCGTAAATTGATCTATACGGAGTCAGGTGACATTGAACTGACCTCGAAACATACTACATTGATCCACTTTGAGGGTCGGAGGTGAAACGAATAAAGTAGAGCCCGAGTCACTCGGTAAGTTTTACTCGCGTCTCAACTTCTTGGGGACAACTGAGTCATCTCAGATGATTTTAAGGATGACGGAACCGTATGACAAGGACCCAAATGTAGTCGATTCCAATTAATCCGATAATCTAGTAATTGGGTCAAATGCTGTGGAACAGCAAAAGATTGTATGCATTACTGTGAGTCCGCAACGTTCATTAGGGTCTCTACTCAGTTTACTTGAGCCGGTGACTTTTCAGTTCAGGAACCAGGAGGAGAAGATGAGGAGCACAGCCTATATTTTGGAGAGACAAGGAGACGATCTAATTGTCGGAATTTTGTCCAAGTGACCTGCACGGGTACTTGGCCGTTAGCAGGACAGAGGACCGGGCCCCTATTTGATGACTCCCCACCGCAACCTCGGATAGTTTAGTCAGTCGATTAGTAGAAGCAACGTTTTAAATCAGTGTGCATTGATTGGCCGGAGTCCAAAATACATAAAAATCGGAAAACTTACATATAATTCAACTGCCTACTTATGAAATTGCTACTAACGTTAATTTGCTTGACACTAATTGGGCATAGAATAAATAAATGGTGGGGGTTTGCGTCGCCTACCCCTTTTCGCTTCGCGTTCAGCCTCGCGCTTCTCTGAGAACCAGTTAGTGCGTTTTTGGAATGGAGGCGCCGCTGAGGTCTGGCCAGCGCCCCCGGCTGCCCGTTCTGCTGCGAGACGTTCAGCCTTGGCCAACTGTGATTCGGCTGCCTGCAGTTCACGCTCCTCGGCCTCTGTGGCTAGAATCTCCTTCATGAAGGGCTCGAGCTTGGCGATGCGTGCCTTAAATCGAGCAATCACTTCTGAAAACGGAAAGGATGAAAAGGGAGACTGATGATGAACACGGAATAATTTAACGGGGAGGGCGGGGGGTGGGGTCCCGGCTTCATGGGTCTTGCCCGCGCAATGGGTAAAAGGTTGAGGGAAGGAAGGGCGAACAAAATTGAAAAGACAACGATATGCAAGGGTGTTAGTCAGGCTGTTTCTCTCGACTTTGACCTGTTTCTAGCCTGCGCACGAGCGACAGAATTAACCTGAACAGAGCTTGGAAAACATTTGCTTTGGAAATGTCCGCCTGTAGTCTGCTTTCACTGTCTGCCACGTAGTCGACTGCTGCCTCAAGGTAAAATGAAGTTGCGCCCCAAAGACGATGGACTTCACTAGACTTGTGTAGCTCGTGGTCAGTCCCGTGTTCATTTTAGAGAATTTTCCAAAAACTTCGCGGACAATTCGTCGATCGCAAATCAAGACATGGAATCAAAACACCCTTGACGGTGAATCTCTTTAAAAATCATAGTCGTCGAATAAGGATCAGTAGATATCAGACTACACAGTGGTCGCAAGTACCACCGAACGATGTTTTAATTAACTGAAGGTTTGCAAAATGGAGGACAGCCACTGCACTTTCAACTTTCTTATTGAAGAGGTCGGAGTTGTTAATTGAACGCCTCGTAGTAGTTGGAAAATTGCAAGACAGTTCGGCCGTCGATGTCCACCATGTGCTCCACAGGGTGGGAACAGACGGTGACTAGGGCGTGAGTTCCGTTATAACGACAGCGGACTTGCGCGGCATCTACTACACTCTCTCCTTCTTCCCCACGTAGGTCCGGTCACGGTGGAACCTAGGCGTGTCCCCAAACTGGCTCGGATTCTACTGGGTGGGAGCTCCACAGAAGCCAAATTAAGAAGGAGCCATTGCAGCCTCGCTCACAGCCCCCCGCTACGCCACTCCACACATGCACACACTGCGCTGACTGCGGAGACTGAGTTACGCTGTTAGTTGTCCGCCTTCTAAGACGCTGCTTTTAGCGTAGCGTGGTAACTTCAAGGGCGTCGAATTGTTTACGGTGAGGAATATGCGCCGAGATAGTCGACATCACTCTCTCTTCAAACTTCCAGACACTTGTCCACTGCTCGAGCCGGTCAGTTGTCTAATGAGGGAAATGGGCGGGGGAAATTGTAATAGCTGCTCGGTGACGCGTAGTTGACCTCGCATCGTGAGCGATGAGATGTGGTACAAAGTCGGGAAATGACAACGACGTACAATGTCCTAGCACATTCGCCAACAGCCGTTGTTTCGGCTTAATGAAGGGCGGCAAATAAAACTTGTGTTTAGTAGGGGTAGCTGAGGTCTCCCACATGGCGACGCATGCTGTGCAACGCAATCAAACTGCATACCCTGCAAATGCGCGTCAGATGGCCTGCCACTGTGGTGGCAACAATCGGTTGATGAAAAGCTCAAGAGGTGTGATGCCAGTAGCAGCAGGGGGGGCATGCGGTGCAACGCAATCAAACTGCATACCCTGCAAATGCGCGTCAGATGGCCTGCCACTGTGGTGGCAACAATCGGTTGATGAAAAGCTCAAGAGGTGTGATGCCAGTAGCAGCAGGGGGGGGGGGAGGCAAGGAAATGTCTGACACAAGTCTGACTGGCCCAGAATACAGACTGCTAAAGCAAAAACAGAAACAGGTTCGTCAGAAATTAAAAATGAAGATTTTCTAGGAGCAGGGGCGATATTCCGCAGAGAGTAAATGACACAAAACACCCACCAAACGAGTTACCTTGCGGAACACTACGGGCCTTTATAGGATAGGGTGCATCCTTGATAATTTCCTTCAGTAGCCTGCGATCTGATTCGCCTGCCAGAGATACGGCTCTGAGGTGGGAGAAGGGATCGTAAAAAATTGCGTTAGGTTGATTGCGCACACACGTATTTTTAGCCCAAAGAGATGTAATTATGATAGAAAATGACCTGTCTTCTTAGGGGGAAAATAAAAGAGGGCGGAAGGCCGACAAACAGCCAGAGGTTGCAAGACTTACCTTCCTGTGTTTGCAGCCCGCGCAGTTCTGCCGACCCGATGAACATACTGCTTCATTGTTGGAGGCAGTCGATAGTTAATAACCTGAAAAATCAAACCAACCACGTAAGTATCTGCTACGGTGAGTCGTTGTGAAAAAAAAAACAGGAAACCCCTAGAATGCCTAGAACGATTTGGGCAATGATACCAATGTACGGCGCCCTACAGTCGAGATTGCGTGTAGTAAAAATAAGTGGGGGATCAAACAAAACTCGAGTCTCTCAGTTGGGGCCTAGTAGCTGAGGAGGTTGGCGCGTTGGTTGTACTAAATCCTTGCCTTCACACTCAAGGTGCCTGAGATTTTCAAAGTCAAATGTCCCCGAGGTACACTAGTGACAGTTGATGGAGTAACATGCTTAGGAAGACTCAAATTTCCGGTCGCTCGCACAAACTACAACATCAGAAAAAAGTCGGACAATAAAATACTGACATACATTGTAAAATGGTAATATGAGGTTCTTTGAAATCGTACAGTGCTTTACGTGGCCACTTTCGAAGGCTGCAAGACGGAAATGACAGTGCCAAACAGCACCATCGAGCTTGTAGCGATTTTTACTTACAACGGAGTTTTCGCGGGAATTTAGTTATCGTTATAGGGCAGCTGTAAATTGTGGTAAGCAACAACATTCTGAAAACTTACCTCTAAAAATGGCTGCATTTAATCAGTGTTTCTCATGAGACAGGACACTCATGTTACTTCATTTCATGCGTTACTATCATTGTGGTAGCATCCGTGAAAATAAAGTAGCTTTTAAAATCGAACCAACGTTACATAAAAAGCTCCCATATACAGGACACAAGCGTGCAGGTTGTCACATAATTCCTATCCAAACTATAATTATTCGAATCGAAGTTGGATGCGCTGTCTTCTTGAGCAAGCTGAAGATTGTGCCAAGAGCATAAGGGACAACGAAGTATAGAGACCATTGTTAGAATGCCCGGGGTCGAGCCCTCCAACCTGTGAATATTCTCCTGACTATGCTGTTCAAATGGTATTAAAATTACTAATACTGGAGAACGTACTTAAAATGTTCTTAATCGATGGGGAGATCGATTACGAAGCAGGTCTGTATATCAGACAACCTCGGCCATACACATCAAAGACCTTGTGCGTTTCCACTTACTACGACCAAGTCGCCGCCCCCAATCGCACGAAATCGGTTGGACGCATTGACTAAATGGTATCCAGCGCTCATCTTTTATTTCGCCGTGTAACCACCTTGGCTAAAGGGTGAAATCAAATGAGGGTGACGTATAAAATTAGGGTCGGTCGTGGATGAAGACCCAGGGTTGATAGACCATACAGGTACTTGACCATGACGCCTTCACTCGGCCCAAATGACAACGCTCAAAGTCCTAGATCGATGGGCAAGCGGCAACGTCGCCGGTATGCACATACTGGAAACCGTGTTTGCAAGCCCGCGCACAGGTGGCCCAGTCGAATTCGGGTAGTTTTGTTCACTTGCAAAGAGAGGCCGAGAGCAGCAATGAAAATCGGCAGGCGTAACATGTGTTTCCTTCCAGCCGCCGAAAAGACAGACTTCTCTCATCGTCCGAAGCGGACTAAATATAGGAGTATTACGACAGCGGAATGAATTTCACAGGCAGGAGAAAAGAGCCGGAAAGGTGAAAGCCTTCTAAACGGCAGAGACCGATTCCCCACACTGCGACAGCCATTCTTGAAAGAGGCGTAATCCCCACCGTCCAGACTCGAGACGTGTAAAAACGAGATCCTAAGAATTTTCATTTCGTCGTGAAGCTGCAACGAAAACAAACAAGCTCAAGATTCTTGTTTAATTCAATGTGTGTGGGTGCAGAATACGCAGTTTTGGAGGGACCACTAGGTCGGCAATCTCGACAGCAATAAAATTCCGGTAAAGACCTGTGCTGAGCACAAAAACGCATCGTTTCGGCATCTCAACGAAGGGATACATAAGTACTCATAACATTAGTAACACCACATGCTTGTAGAAAGAAGATACCTACGAAATGTGCTGGCGATAAACGCGACGTGCTGTAGCCAACGCTGAAGTACCCCACTATCTTCCAGGAGGAAAACTGTTTCACACAAATTCGTAAATGACTCGTCCCACATGTTTGAGACCTTCAGGTGCAGTAGCAGCTTTATCAGCTCTGTAAAAAGGTCGGTCTTTTGACTCCAGGCCAGAGGGGCAAATAATCAGGTGGCAAGGGGAACCAACCGCTGCCTGACTGAGCTGAGGTAGATACGGCGGTATGACAACATGCTGTACGATTTTAACGTACTTAGATGTTTAAAACGCGTCAGTGTCAATATCGGGCACTTTAAAGAGATGAAGAATCTAGGCCGGACCCGGCTTGCGCGTGTGGTCTCTTGGGCTCCTCTGCAGTGATCGTGATATCAGTGGCTGGAGCTGCGAACGGTGGTGAGTGCAATCTTCGGCAAACGAATCCGGGCAGCATGTGCTGCCAGATGACTTCGAGATCCTTCTGTCGGAAGTTAAAGTGATTGGCCGATAACCCGTCCTGCCGCAACACAGCCTCATCGAGCACACCTACCAACTCTCCGTCGTCTCACGGAAATCATTTCTGACGTTAGTGATCATCTTAGGCACTTCGTGCGGTCCTACAAAACGACCGTTGCTATGTTTTTTCTACGCAACGGCCTAACATTTGTGTTGCATACGATCCTGCGCGAAAATTTCTAGCTGTAAGGAATTTGACACGTTTTGACCTATCACAGCGAGGCAAAGATAGTGAATTCGAAGATTTCCAACTGGCTAGATATCTCGGTCCTTGGGGCTGGGCCTGTTTTTAACTAGTTACAGATGCGGCCCCATGGCATTTCCGGTAGATATGAAATGCAAGCAAATGAAGTGCAATTTACGCGATCCGAGAGGCCAGCGCGCGCGTGGCACGTGCAGACGAGGCGCATGACAACTGTGCGCAAGCCAAGGCACTGATCTCTCCGAAATAATTCTCTGACTCGTAAGCAGCAGGAGGTCATGGCTGAAGAGGCTGAGGCCCACTGCACTTGGATGCTCGAAAGATTTCGCTTGTGGGTTCCGGTAATTTGTCATCACTGGTGTGGACCAACGGTGTTGCCCACAAACTGCCCACGCGGCAGATGCGTTGGACCAACAGGGAGACCAGATCGGGGTCCGGTAGGCGTTATTTGAAACGTGCACCTATAACAAGTGTCAACATTGGGGATGGAGCGGCGCGCCCAGGTGCAGACACACGGCGCGTCAGTTGTTGTGTAGAATCCTGGTCAGTTGTACGTTGTGAACCAGGGGCGTGGTGGCACGCCTAGCTGCATTTTCCGCCATGCCAGCCACCTGCGTGTCTTGCTGCCTCTGGTCTCCTCGACCCTGTCACGACACCGGACTTAGGTGGGGGAGACGGGGAGAGTGCGGTAGATGCTGCGCAGGCCTACTATCAATATGAGCGAACTCACGCGCAAGTCAACACCCCTGCTCCCACTTTGCTATGGAGCACACGGTGGACATTGTCAGAAACGACGGTTGAAATGTCGGACCCTACTACCTATCTCTAGAATAAAATTGAGGATTCAGCCATGGAAAAAATACGCTGAACATGAACTATTTTAAGAGACAGCAGTCAAAGGGCAACATACATCCACGTCTGACAACGGGGCAAATTCAGTTAAACGGCAATGAAAGTGTTGAGAAGAACTAGGACAGAATGTGTTGCGATCTACGCAACTTCCCCACGGACAGCCGGACACGTGCCGACCACATCAGGAGCGGTTCAAACGGAAGAGCGGAGGGGTAACGTACCGTCTGCACATGGGGGATGTCCAAGCCGCGAGCAGCAAGGTCAGTCGCAAGTAAGATGTCGACGGGGGGTGCAGCATCCTCGACTTCAGTCTTGTGATCATCCTTGTCCACAGCAGTCGTCTTCGAATTTGTAGAGGAGCCCTGGGGAAAAGAGGACTCCTCAGTGAAACGACGGAGGGCCTCTAGACGCTGCGACTGGTGCATGTCACCATGCAGCTCAGCACAGTGTAGCCCCATCAGGCCGAGCAGAACGTGCATGCGATGGCAGTCCTTCTTTGTCGGCAGAAAGACAATTGTCCGTTTGGGGAAGGAACGGACAAGGAGAGCTGCGAGTATGGAGTCTCGGTCAGCTTCTTTCTGTGGTCGGATGCGGACGAACTCCTGTTGAAGTCTGTCAGCCACTGCGGTTGACTCGTTGAGAAAAACTCGAACTGGATTCCTGAGAGACACTGTGGCCAACTCACGCACCTTGAAAAGAGGCGACCCCATGCTGGGAAAGTTTAACCATGAATGGTGCAACAAGAAGATGGTGAATTTTTAATACCAACGTCACGATCCTCAAATGAGCACATTCTATTAGATGCTTTTCCCTAACCCTCTCCAGGAGTTTTTCAACAGCAACAATTGTTTAGTTCAACAGAGACGAAAACAATTTTCACTCGGGCGAGGAACATTACGTAAAGCAGCAGCTTAGGAAGTTGCTGGAACAGAAATGAAACACAAGATAGACTTGAAACTCTCTATACTAGGCACTTTTATTAAAAGCTCTGTTTGGTGATTTTCCAAAAAAGTCACCTAAGAACTTTAGAAAGTTTTAATCCGCTGGCGAAATGTCAGGTGACTGGGGGAGCGGTCAGTGCTTGATATTTCAGTTCTCTGGACTTTATAACGCACGCAATACGTGCTTTCGAGCTCTCAATTGATTATTTCCAGTCACCCCATGCCTGACATATAAAATCATTGTCCCAGCGAGTGTGTCCCCCTCACCTCAACCGCTTCCTGGAATTACCCCCTCTGCTTTTATCAACAATACGACGAGCACCAACCCGCCTCTCAGACAGACTGGGTAGTCTTCCGTCATTTGAAAAACTAAGACAAAAGGAAGCTATTTGAGATACCGCACGTTGCTAATGATAGACCTGCATATCTATCGCCAGCGAATAGGTGACAGGGCGCAGGAGTGCTGGTCTTGGGCGTAATAATGTGACTGATGCGGAGGGATGGTAAAAGTAGGGGTTTTGTTTTAACTACCATCAGGGATTCAGTAGATTACTTGTGCCGGTACATGTTGTGATCCTGCATCAAATGAAAGCCCCATAACATTCAAAGGGTATAGCCTAACTATAGAAGAGGCGGCTCCAAATTTAAATAAGAAAGCCCACTACGAGCAAATGCATTGAATGCGACAAGATGACTATGCTAGGAAAAAAGGAATGAGACGTACAGTTTCAGTCATAGTTGCTGAAAATAACAGGGTTTGTTTCTGTGAGCTGCAGTGGCGAAGAATTTCACATATTTGTTCCGTGAAGTACTCATCCAGAAGTCTGTCAATGAATTAGAAGACGCGCAAGACTACACTTACTTGTCGGCTTCGTCTAGAACGAGATATTCGACTCCTTGCAGACTGAAGTTGGGAGCGTTCGAAAGATGGTCTATTAGTCGTCCGGGTGTAGCAACAACAATGTCAGGGTTTGTTCGTAGAGAAGCCTCTTGGGAGGACAAATCCAAGCCGCCAGCGGCTAGCTGAATCTTGAGTTTCGGACAGTACTTAACCAGCTGTTCTGCAACCTTAAATATCTGCACCGCGAGTTCTCGCGTAGGACTGATTATGAGCGCCCGCGTGCTCCGCCTACTGGAAGCGGGGGTGTAGACCATCCTGTCGACAATGGGCAGCAGAAAAGCCAGCGTCTTTCCCGATCCCGTACGCGCGCAGGCGCAGATATCTCGGTTTATCAGCGCAAGAGGAACGCAGGCGCACTGGATAGGGGTAGGCTTGTACATATTCATGTCAGTGAGCGCCTGAACGATTAAAAAACGAAAGGTTGTACCTTGAGGACCGGTTTCGACAGCTTAAACCCAATGAAAGAATCGACGGCTGCGTAATTCGTGACAGACTGGAAGAAGTCGTATTGTGCTTCCTACTGAGGTAAGGGGAATAAGACACTTTCCCTCACCTTTTCTGCCTGCTCATCTTCTTGGGGTGCGCGTTTTCGTTTCTTGCGATTTTTCTTCGCTCTAAGAGAGTCTGACGATATTAAGGGAATCAATGAGGGCTACTTACCTGTTATTTTACATCTTACTCCTTGTTCCCCCTCAACTTCGATCTCCTCGTCTTCGTCCTCAAGAAAACTTTTCGTCTTTTCATGAAGATATTTCTTGATTAACGTGTCAATTCGACGATTGTTGTTTGCAACATCTTCAGGGACAAATTCCGCCACTTCTGGTACATAGACAGTGGCCTAACAAGGAAATCTCAACTGCGATGAAAGAGTGCCTTACCTTGTCTTCGAAGGAAAATTCCGGATTGAATTCGACCTAGTAGGAGTGAGAATGCATTGAAATGCAGCTACCATGTTGAGTAAATGAAGCAGATGATGATGGGAATATCAGCAACGGTTTTCGTTCACTTCAACGTACAATTCAACACCTAAAATACAAGGCAGGAAAAAAGCGATGAGAAATGTTAGAGCGCAGAGGACTACCCTTGATTTCTGAGACAGTGAAAACCTGCTTTCTATCAAAACCCTCAGAGCATGTTTGATGGAATCGCCTATCATTGCAGAGGACAAATTTTCGTAAGTGTGGAGTTCGTCGAGGGACATATATGCAAGTTGGCTGTTGTATAAGTGACGACAAGACGGTTTATTTCGTAGGTGTTGTGGTTAGTGATACACGCTTATCCACCTAACAATGATATTGGTAAAACGTACAGTAGGCATTTAGCTGTAGGCGTTCCTTTCCGATTGTCGGAAATCCTGATTATGAAGCTGCAGTCTAGCAAAAAGCGAGGGACGTAAGCGATACGTAGCTTTAGCCTCCTTCGATTGTATGACGGACATAATGCCTCGGTTCCCCTCGTCTGCGTCTTGACGTTCACAAAATACCTTTAATGGCACGCTCAAAATAACCTAAGTATTCCCGCACGTATGCAGTCAAACACTAATTAACACGGACCCGGTAGATCCAACGTACAAGGAGGCTTTACATTTTTCGCATGGATACGCTAAGGTGAGGGCTTTTTGCGACCAAAACATACGAATCATTCACCCAGGTTGGTTACAGGTTGATAGGACCACGACTCATAACTCGTTTCGGTGACTTCAGTGATTCAAATACTATGAATGTGCGAACGTTCCTGAATTCTGATACCTAAAGTCTGACAGCTCAACGTCTTCAACGGTGTCATGCTAAAATAAGCCTCTGGCTAGATTCTATCTTACCTACTACTTTTCTATTTCTTGTTTTAATTCCAGTACGTCAAACGTAGGATGAGTAAAGCCCTATTATAGTATTCTCGTTCGGATTCTTGCATCCTGATTCGTTCGTGCTCTCTCTCTCTCTCTCTCTCGTGTACTTGTTACGGTCCTAGCTAAAACAATTTATTCATCTTACAACTCCAGAATGGATAGATTTGATGTTGATCCAAATGCTCAAGACGCTTCTAAACAAGGAAATCATTGGAGCCGAACTTTTGAAAATTTCTTGTCTACCATCAATAGCCTGAAGCAGGATAAATTGAGCGTTCTGACTAACTACGTTTCTCCGACATTCTCAGAATGCATAAGCGAATGCTCCAGTTACAAAAAAGCTGTTAAATTGCTACGAGATCTCTACTTAAGACCCAAAAACAAAATCATCGCGCGCCCTCTTCTGGCAACCTGCAGACGGGAAGGCGGACAAACCCTCAACCAGTTTGCATAAAAGCTAAAGTCCTTAGCTAAGGACTGCGATTTTCAAGCCGCTACGGTAGAATAAAATCGCGACGATGCCATTAGGGATCTGTTCATCAGCGGCCTTCCGTCAAACCGGGTTCAGCAGAGGCAATTGGAGCGGAAGAATTCGAACTTCCAAACTGCTTTTGATCAGCCAAGGTCACTGGAATTGGCAGAGAGTCTCCATCGTATCAGAACCCCTCGACGACCTCATTCTCTGCCGCTACGGAGCCATGTTAAACTTCGTCGAGTCCCGTTAAAGAGTCTGACCCAGTGGCTTCTACTTCATTCCATAGCAAATGTTTGTTTTGGGAATACGACAGATGCGCCGTTCGATGTGTCCCGCACGCGATGCGTTACGCAAAGGATGCGGCAAAAAGGGCACTTCCAAAAGGTGTGCCTGACATCCTGAAACCGAAAAGCCGTCTCTTTCCCTATGTATCCTACTATTTCCGCCATGGCATCAGCTGCTGTCTCCGACTGTCTTTCAGGCGCATTGGTTGAATTACAGATAAATGGGACCACTTTTCAGGCCCTAATTGACACGGTTCTGAGTTATATTTCTTCTTCAGTGGTGCTCAGAAATAAATGGAAGATTCATAACTGTCGCATTAAGATATCCATGGCCACTACCGTCGTAACCAGCGCCAAGCAAGGACATATTCTTGCTTCTACTAAACATAAAGGTACAATATATTAGAAAGTCAAGCTGTCCGTCTTGCCGGATTTGTGCGCTGATGTTCTACTTAGATATGACTTTCTCCGGGTCCACAAAATTGTTGAAGTTCCTTTTGGTGGACATTAACCTACGTTCTCGCTTTGTTCTGTGTTTGCCGCTTGCGCCGAGCCGCCCTGTTTGTTTCCTAACCTGACACCGGACTGCAGGCCTATCGCTACTAAATTTCTTAGACACACCAATATAGATGAGCAATTTATACGGGCAGAAATTCATTGCCTTCTTTCTGTGGGTGTAATTGAGCAGTGGCGAGCCCAAGCCTTAGTGTTAACCAATGAAAACCACAAAAAACGGATGGTTGTCGATTATAGCCATACGACCAACAAATACACACTTCTAGATGCCTACGCCTCCCGAGAACAGACGAAATGATTGAACATATTGCAAGCTACGACACGTGTAGCACTCTTGATCTCAAGAGCGCCTATCACTAGATACCCATGCAAGTAGAGGAAGGACCGTGCACTGCCTTCAAAGATTGTGGGTGTTTGTATCAATTTGGTCGTATCCCGTTTGGTGTGACCAACGGGGTTGCATGCGTCCAACGGACCATTGGCGACATAATTACGCGCGAGCGTCTAAAGAATATTTTCTTCTACGTAGACAATATCACTATTTGTGGGAACGGCTTTGTGGAGCATGATCCAACCCTTCAAAAATTCTTCAGCGTGGGCGAAAAGTACGGACTAACACCCAATGAGACCAAAAGTGCTACTGCTGCTAGACAAATCAAACATCTTGGTTACGAGGTATCCAATACTAGGCCGGATCCGGATCGTCTAAGGCCGTTGCGTGAAATGGCTCCTCCGCATGATCTGAAGTCTCAACAACGAGCTGTAAGACTGTTTGCAGACTACTCACAATGGATATCTCACTTTTCAGATAAAATTCGTCTGCTCATCTATAACAAAACTTTTCCATTACCATTGAAGGTAATGGAGGCATTTGGCGCTCTTAAGGAGGAACTTGCGAAAGCCACAATGGTCACTGTTTAGTACGATCCCCATTAGTTGTCGAGACTGATGC